ATTGAATTTTATCTGGCCAGGGCGGCTTATTTTATATTGTATGTATTTTATTTTAATGTTTATATTTTTAATTATAATTATTTAATTAATTGTTGTAAGCCGCCCTGAGGCTTCGGCGAATGGGGCGGCATAAAAATGTTTTAATTAATAAATAAATAAATAATGGGGACATTATCTGCCAAGCTTGCAGTTCGAAAGCATGCAAATGCAAGTAGATAAAAAGGTACCATTTTGGTGGGAAGGTAACAGCATTCCATGCACCTCGGTGTTTAGTCATGCCGGCCACATGACCACGGAAACTGTCTGCAGACAAACACTGGCTCCCTCGGCTAGGAAACAGAGATGAGCACCGCCCCCTAGAGTCAGGCATGACTGGACTTCAGGTCAAGGGAAAACCTTTACCTTGACATTTGATGGGGACATATACAACTTTAGGGTCAAGTTCATTCGCAATCTTAAGTTTCACCCCATAGTTTCTTAGGACAATTTGCTGTTAACTGTTCCACATGTTGTGATAGTCATGTACAGACCTCTTGTGCACATTTTGAAAGCTTTCACCAGTGTTGATAACTGGGTTGAAAAGGAGTGTGCAAATAATTCCCATTAGTAGCTTATCTTATGTCAGTGGTAGGTGAGTACATAGTATCTAACTATAGCCCTCTTCCAGCTGCACTCTGGTATTCTTCACTTTTAAGAACAAGGCTGGGGGCCAATGGCTGATAAATGAGGCCTGATACCTGTTCCTTTCACCAGACTTCTCATGGTCTGGCTTCTGTTTGCACAATGATGTTGTGCTAGAAGAAAGTAAACACACTTTTTTACTGAAACAGGAACTTACACTCTGTAGAATCCGGGGTGCACTGTTACCTCCTTCAGTTTTTCTGCTGGCAGGTATGACTTGAGGGATTTTGGCACTCTCCATAAGACAGGCAATTGCCTTTCCTCTCCAGTCTGAATTTCTAAATGCAAGCTATAAGCAACAGAATGGAGTTTAGACATCATACATCTCACACTCTAAAGCATATCTTTTCCTGCTGGGTTTTGTTCTGTTTTTGTTTTGTTTTTTTTTATAAAATGCCATATTAAATACCTATTCATATCAACTCCCTGTCCTTGAAAATGTAACCTTTCAGGGATAAATAGATGCCCTACAATAGAATGGCAATCCTATCAAGAAAATATTTTTTATCATTAAAACTGAGCAAGGTTACCATCTTTTTGTTGTTTGCCTGATGTAAACAAATATGGAAGCTGATCCTATGCAAGGTTAATAATAAGTTTGTTCAGTTACACTTATACCCAGGAATGCATACATAGATGGGATGACCACTGTAGCTGGAGAAACTTTTCTACCACCTATCTTTTTGCCAAGAAAAGCTTTCTTCAAACAGTGTAATTCTGTTGGCAAATAGGATAGGCAAGTTTTGTAAAAGGTGGGAGCCTTGTGTTCAAGGAAGAGTTTAGTGTAATTCATAAGCTCACAAACTGCCTTGTGAACGCCGATTGGTCTCCAGAAAGGTGTTGCATTCCTAGGCACACATCTGGTACCCTTCAGCTGTTGGACTTCACTTTTCACCAGCTCATGACCAGTGGTCAGGAATGTTGGACACTGTTCAGGCACCAAGCTGGGGAAGGCTGAAATACATTCTGGGTGGGAATAAAGTCCTATTGAACTCACGGTGGAATATGTTTGAACTGGGCTTCCCCCACAGTTGCTATTAATCACAAAAAACAACCACCACCACCACCAAACCATGGGAGATCCTATTTATAGAATCCCACATGCCATAAACAACTTTTTACATTCATAGGAATATTAATGAAAATGGTGGAATGGGATTTGTAGGAACAGAGAATAAAAAGTAAGTCTGAAATGTAGAGACAAAAGGGGAACAGATAAGACTTTAAAGGTGCAAGAAGACAGTGTTATTATCCTCTGTGTTTTAAATATTGAAACTGTTCCTCAAGACAACTCTGATTCATTGTGGTAATTATTAAACCTAGATGGTGTGGAAGACATGTTTGGAGTTTCTCTAAACTTTTGATCAGGGATGGGATAGTTTAGCCAATTTAAATTTGCTGCCAAGTATACCACTATAAAATGCACCTTAGGCCATAGTAAAGTTTGATATGCCAGCCCCAGCCATTGGAAATGGGTCTGAGGGGCCTAAGTCTAACACCAAGGGAATTGCATCTTCCTTTACAGAAGCAGGGATGTTAGACTGGAGAGTTCCCAATCCATTCACCAGCAGTGGTGAATCCACGGCACATCAGATGTGGGACTACAATTCCCATCATCCCCACTGACCTTGCTGGCTGGGGGTAATAGTTCTTGGAGTGCAACACTACACAGAAAATCATGGCTTTCCTAGTCTTGACCTATACACAATGGAAAGAGAAGGTTCATGCTGTATAGCATACATATTCATTGAGGTTACCTTTCTGTTGGGAAAATGAAAGGTGTAAAGTGCAATTGTCATCTGTTCCCCCTTTGTAAGTTTTTTCCCACCATTAGTCAATGAATCTTTTTTGTCCTGTGCTGTCAAATAATATTGTGACAAATGGAAAAATCTGGGAGGATGAGTTTTTAATTAAAAGTTGGATAATGTTTTTATTTATTGGATATTTGTGGTATGATTTTATTGACGTTTCCAAGTCATATTTAAACCTTGGTTTGGTCAGTAAGCCAAACAGGCATGATAAGACTTCAGGATATTCTCCTCTAAGCCTTGAAAGATTGCTGGAATTCTAAAGGAAATTAAAATATCACAGCCCTTTCCTTTTATTTTGTTTAAATGTATCCCTGTTAAGCATTAGCAGAAATAGTTGTTCTTATAATCTCTGAGGGGACAGAGGTTACAAGACCAACTGTTTCTGCCTGTGTCATTCCAGCTGAACAGCATCTGGGAAGGTGTGTTACCTCAGCGGTAGTATCTACAGAGGACAAAACATTTTTTGTAAGCTGTTTGATTTTGCATAAAGTTGCTTGATTTTGTTTTTCACCCTTAGGTAGACAGATGTGTGGGTCTTAGGCACCTGTGACAAAATTGCACCATAGCAAACTTCTCAAATGTTATTACTGTGAAAGGTGTATGGGGCATGTGGTGATAACAACATGGAGATGGAAGGCATGAAATATTCTCCACTCCTTGCCAGATGGATAAACTTCTGTGATCCATAGGAATGGAAAGGAAATTCTGGAGATGGGAAGAGACTTAGGGTGTGATGCTATGCATGTTTAAACAGAAAAAAATCCTACAACTCCCTGCATTCCATAACTGGTTAGGGAGTGCTGGGAATGAAGGACTCCCCCCCCCCCCCCGAACATACATAGGATTTCACTCTTTAGAGATTAATAGAGGGAAGGCTTGATAGAAACAAGTTAGGAACCAGTAAGGCTGAGAGGTATAATCTGGTGGGGCTTTGTAAAATTAATGAAGAAGGTAGAACAGCACCATGCATTAAGAGTAATGAAGGAATCATTGATGTAAAGCTAGTATTGTTACCTGCAGCAAGCATGCAATATGTGAGCATCATTCCCACATATGCATGCATGTCTTTTAACATCTATATACAAATGTATTGGAATCCTTTCCTAGTCAGAGTTTCCAGATCCAAGTACTGACAGAGATGTGTATATTTGGAGGTTGTAAGTTGCTACAAGGAATACTATTTTCCCATGACAATCATAATGTGTACATCTGGTATAAATGGAAATACTGTGTAGGATGCACCTCATAATGTCATCTGTCCAGTAACATCACCATTTATGTTACCTCCAGAGTCATCAGCTTTTGCAGCTGATTATGTAAGAATTTTTTCTCACAGAATTTGCATTTTTGTCTGACCATGTATGACTAACAGAATGATATCCCAGAAGCCTTTTGCTATTTTATTATGAGGTCCCAAAGGGGGCACTGGAAGAATTATCCATTTTGCCACAGTGCTTGCTTATTATTTAGAGTGGGTAAATCAAGTTTTCCCCTGAGTCTTCTGGCTGTTTTGCAGCTGTTTAATAATAATAGAATTTAGACTGTCCAAAACCTTAATCTGTAGCTCAAATGTAAATTTGTATTTCTGTATACTTGTTGGATATTATTCTGTCAATAATTGGCTTCATCCCTTGAGACACCACTTTGGACCCACCTCCAATTGGTAGTCCTTGAGATTCTAGTAAGGTCTGGTATCCCCTGTCTTAGAGGCCTATTAATTGGCAGCGGTGTTATTGCTGATGATAATGATGGTGGTGATTGTAATGTAGGCACACATGCCATTGGTCACAGTCACTGCATAAGAGAAAACTTTACAAAAACTCTCTGATATTTTGGAGTGTGAACACCAGCACTGTTAAAAGAAAGGAGAAGCTGTGTTAGTCTGTTGCAGTGAAAAATAGCAAAGAATCGTATGGTATTTTGAAGATCAACATATTTATTATGACAAAAGTGTTCATAAGTACTGTCTACTGCATGAGATGTATGGAGGGTTACTCTCAAATGGGCAGATTTATGTGCACATGTTGTGGAGGGAAGAATTGTAAACAGTGAGATGAGAAGAAATTGAAATGCAGAAGAGAAGTTTGTTTGTTCAAGAATAGCCATCCTAAAGTCACTGACAGAGTTTCCCAAGAATTTGAAGTGTTCTCCCACTGGTAGACAAACCAGTAATTCTGATGTCTGTGGTACTTAATATCACTAAGACAACTTGGAAAAGATGGACTAATAGACAGTTAGGAGTGCAGAGGGGATGGGTGTCTATCAAATTCAGATAGTTAAATTAAAAGAGAGGCAGGCAGATATATCATTGTGGATTTTGGCTTGTTCATTTAAAAAAGCAGTGTTCTGTAGCTATGAAAGTAGCAAAATAAAAGATGGATATAGTTGCTTTCTATCCAAATAATTTGGCTCCCAATCTGTCTGTCTAGGGATACATTTCAGGGGAAGGCCCTCTAGTCTCTCACGGAGGTGATGCTAACTCTCTTCTTTCATGTGTTGCTTTCTCAGCATTTCTCTGAGAGCTTCGACCACTTCTCTGAGAACATGGAGGACTTTTCCAATGAACTGTTCAACAGCTTCTTTGATGATCCCATGCTGGCCGAAAAGAATCCCTTGCTGGACATGGACCTGGATCCTCCTACTCCTGGCATCCAGGCAGAGCACAGCTATTCCTTGAGTGGAGACTCTGCTCCACAGAGCCCTCTCATGCCTGTCAAGACAGAAGAGAATGCCAATGGTGAGTACAAGGAATGTGCATGCTGGATCTAGAAATACGGCCCTACATTTCAGTGTTATAGTTTCATTAACAGAGGAGGGGAGCTGACTCTGCCAGTCACTGTGAGTGTGTTCTCTTCCAAAGGACCATGCCTTCAGAAACAGATGAGCTCTGGTCAGCTAATAGGAGCTGCCCACATCTCCATTTCCAATATGGCTGGGCTGAAATAGCCTTCTCCAATGTGGTGCACACCAGTTGTTTTGAACTACAACCCACGTTGTCACCAGCCACGATGACCAATTGCCTGGGATGATGAGTGATGCAGTCCAAAACATCTGGAGGGTATCCTGGGCAAGGAATTTGGCCCATTTTTAACTATCTTAAATTCAGCTAATGATAACAGAGCTAGGTTTATTCATTAAATTATCCTTTGGAAATACAAAACATCCAATTATGCTCAACTGGAAAGGTGTACATGTCCTAGTCCTTTCCCGTCTTCTTTCGGAATATGCATCAACATTACTATTGTTATCAAGAAACCATCTGAGCAATCTGGAAAAATGGAGTGGTTGTACTAAAGCAAGGTAAGGAATAGCTCAGAAATGGAAGCCTAGGCTGCAACCCTACACACACTTACTTGGCAGTAAACTCTGATTGATCACAAATGGGGCATGCATTTGATTAAACATGCATAGGAATATGCTTGAAATTTTAGCAAATTAAAGAAAGACAATTTCAGTTGACATATTTACAGTTGTTCTGTGTTCAGAGCAGCAATAATAAAAGGAACTGGCATGGGCCATTTGGAATTTTTAAAGAGCTGTAATATACAGTAGGGGGGCTGGAAATATACCAGACCTAACAGTGACCTCTTTTTCCTCTTCAGGGTCTGCAAAACAGACTAAACAGGAGTTTTGGCTACATGACTCACAGCAAGGAGTCACTAACCGACTGTTTTCAGAGGGGAAAAATCTTAGTCTTGCAGTCTTTTAATGTGATAACTGGCTATTTCCATCCTGGAACTTGTCCAGTAAACTGACTTCTCACTAACAATTCTTAATATTCACTACTATAGATACTTCCATAGTTTAAAGCAGTGCTGGTTGCCCAATGTTTGCTGTCTGAAACACACTTAATTAGTTGGATCATTTGGGAATATATCTTGGTTACTCCTAATTCTCTCTGTCAGTGTGCTTCTTTATGGGATGTTTTGGAGGGAATTCATTCATAGGGCTGCCATAAGTCACGTGACAGTACATAACAACAAAGCAACATATGGGCTCCTCTATATGAAGGGTTTAACTGCTACTGTATGTTTAACCTGCCCTTTTCATTGCAGAGGAAAAATGCATCCTTTACACAGGGCTTCTTCCCAGGGTTTGTATTTTTTGGCCATACTATATATTCTTTTAACTAACAACAAAGATTTTATTCTTTTGCAAGATTTTTCTTCCAGTTTGTTATGATTTAAATTTAATAGCAGATTTTCCTGACCCTAAACAACCATTTTAAAAGTTGGAAAATTTTGGAGAGGCTCTGGGAGACAAAAGAGTCATGAAAGGGTCCTGTAAACTCATGAGTGAGGGATCACAGGTTGAACAAATCTCCAAGTGTGATGGTCAATATGGACATGGTAAAAAAGGGAAGCAAATGGGGAAAATCATTAAATAATTGTTTTTAGATTAACCCATGTTGAAGAAATATTAATGGAATGCAGCAATTTTTGTTAGGCTTTTATAAGAATGTCTAGTGTAAAATACAAGTAAAGAAGATATACTTGAAAAATATTTCCAAGGGACCAATATCTTGTAAAACATAGTTTGACACAGAGAACTGAGTTTTGTTGAGGTTTTCAGATCATGCTATCAATGAATGCCTGGAAGATGCTAATCTTCCCCTTACCTACCTTCAGTGAACACCTGAGCAGAGAACCCTGTGCATACAGGTGTACATGAAGAGGACTCTGTCTACATCATCATCAGTGGAGCCCTCCATGCATGCAGTGACACCTATGGAGCCCCATTCAGGAGTTTGATGGTGAAGGACTGTAACTCAGTGCTGGAACACCTGTTTTGCATGCAAAGATTCCCAGGTTCAATCCCTGACATCTTCAAGTAGGGCTGGGAAAGACAGGCCCTTGCCAGAAACCATGTGGTCCACTGCCAGTCAGGGAAGACACAAGGACAAAAGAAGAGACATGCAGGATCTGAAAAGAGGGCTGCTTAGTTCAGCATTTTGTTCCTGGTGTATCCATTTAAGTGCCTATGGGAAGCTCACAAGAGAACATGAATGAACGCACACCCCCCTGGTCATACATAGAGGCATGCTGGAAGTAATATAGAGCTGAAATGACTAATAATCCTGGACATTATTATTCTCCATGAATTGGACTAATCCCCTTTAAAACTGGCCAAGATGGTAACCATCTCTACAGTACTACTCTAGATGGACCAGTGGTTTGACATGGTATAAGGAAGCTTCCTCTTGATTAAAATCCATGCTGGAAAAGAATTTTCATCTTACATGCAAGCCTCCAGCCCCATCACTTTCAACCCACCTAGTGCTCCTAAGCCCCTTCCCCCATATTTTTAAAACATATTATCAGGCAGCATCAGTGGTCACAGAAATTCACCTGCAGTACAGAATGAGGAAGGCACTTTCTTCCCTTCCTCTCTGGCACCCTGCCTGCAATCCCACAGCAAAGGCTCTGGGGGAGTGTAGGTTTTCCCAGATTTCCTGTAGTTCAAAGAGGCAGATATTGGCTTGGCTCAAGTAAGAAATAGAGCTGTTTCTAGTCATATTTATTTATTTAGTGCATTTCTATACTGCCTCACAGCCAAAGTTTTCTGGGCGGTTAACACAGTCCATAACAAGAAATGATAAAAGTACAATTAAAATACTACAAAATCAGAAAAATATTTAAAGTTTTAAACAGCTAAAAACAAATAAAAACAGAGAATAACAAGGAATAACAAAAAGAGAGATGTGGGGAAAGAGAGACACAGAGAGAGAGAGACTTTTCAAAACACCTGGACTCAGGCCTCTGGGCGTCTGAGTAAGTCGTTAAAAGCCACAGAAAAAAGGGCCATCTTAACCTGGCACTGAAAAAATGACAGATGCAGTGCCAGCCGGGCCGCAGTGGGGAGGTTATTCCATAGACATGCATACAAGTAAAGCTGGAGCTCATCAAAGTTTTCCAAATTCCACCTTGAAGCTTTTTCCATCTCATGTCCCCATCAAATTGCAATTTTTTTCAGGGTTTTTTTTGTGGGGTGGTTTCTGCATGCAAATTTGTTGTAATTCCCAAACGTATAGGTTGGTTGTACACATCTTTGAAACATACATGTTCTTTTTGCATTAATTAAAAGAGTGTTTATATGTTTTTTAAAGTATGCATTTTTCATGGGCAATTTTCAAATATGAGCATGCTGCTGAAGGCATTTTCTAGGCCTGCAAATCAAATTGCAACCCCAGAATATGTATAGATGAGGTAAATCTGGGTTTTAAAAGCAACAAATTAAACATTCCTAGCTGTTTCTGACTTTTGAGGCAACTGCTTGGCTTATTTTTGAGAAAAGTTTACACAGGCTGAGAGAAAGACCATAGCCCAGTGGTAGAACATACACTGTGCATGCAATCGAGCTGGGAGAACGCCTGCCTGCAATCCTGGAGAGCTGCTGCCGGTCAGTGTCAACAATACTGAGCTAGATGGACCAATAGCCTGATGCAGTGTAAGGCAGCTTTCTGGGTTCCAATGTAAGCTTACTCATCCTTACACAGAAACAGAATCCTTCTGACAGACCATTTGCCTCCTTGCATGCTCAGGCAGGATCAGGCAACTCTCTTCATATAGAAAATGGGGCTGCTTTCTGTTCAAATTAAGCCCAAGGAATGTCGAAGGAGACAAACTTCTGTTGACTAGCAGGGTTGTTTATGATCTGAGTTACATCCCCACCCCTCAGAACTGTGCCAAGAAAAATGGAATACTGTGATCTATATATATTATGCAAATAGGGCACATTTGCAAAATTTCCTCTTACTTTGCATAATTTATTCTATTTCTGTTAATCATATGAAGGGGTAAGGAGCTATTCTGGGAGCTGCAGCCCTTCCTCTGCTATGAAAATTTATTAACCAGCAGCCTTTCTAGCTTCCAAGGTATCACCCGGCATTAGCAATCCACTCTCAAACATATCTTCACAACTGTAAGAACTGGAAACTTGCTTTAATTTTTTAATACTTTAAAAAGGAAAGAAAGAGCTGACTTTTGCAGGAAGATGACTTCTGAGGATAGTGTAAATCACATTCTGCCCTTAAATAGGATCACAATATTCACACAGTTCCTGATTGTATGTTAATAATAGAATCATAGTATGTTAGAATTGGAAGGGATCATGGAGGTCATCTAGTCCAACCCCCTGCTCAGTGCAGGGAATACAATTTATTATGCAACTGGATCACCCAGATCTACTTAACTATCTCCACCAAGGCAAAGCCCACTGCTTTCTAAAATGAATGGTTTCCCTGCTGAACAGCTCTCACTATTAGGAAGTATCTTTTAATATCTGACTGAAATCTGCTTCTTTGCAGTTTCCACCTTTCTGAGTCCTGCTTAGAATAACGGAGAACACATCTGCTCCAGGAGTAAAAGCTACTTTCCTTGCTTTAAGACCTAACCTGCTACCTGCCTGAAAAAGTTCTGTCAAACTCATGCATTTCCTCTAAAAAGAAGGCCTAATAAAAGGTGTCAACTTACCCTCTATTTTCCCCTGGCAAGCTGTCAGAGGAACTTCCTGGTTGCTGGGTGTGGATGCACAGCACTGAGCCTTGCCTGGCACTTTTGGCTTGGGCGTAGACGGAGTGGAGGCCACTGCCTGCAGCCAGTGCTTACTGGTGTATGGGGAAGACTAAGTGGCTTCCTTTCTTACCAGCGAATTTCTCCACAGGAGACGAAGAGGAACCGTCATTTCAAAGCCTATTTTTAAAACAATTCATTTTAGGGTAATTTGTGATGACAGGATATTTTTAGAACAATCCCAGCACAGGATCCTGTAATTTGTGGGTCCATGTGGGTGTTCCAGTGGTTGAAGGACAACAGTCATCCTGAAAATGGAATGGCATTGATTCAGTATATACAAGAGAAGAAAGACCTTCCTTTTAGCAAAAGCAAGGGATAGGTTTCCCTGCTGTGGTCAGGGATTATCCAGGCAGAGTGATACAAAGTTCCAGAAGAGAGGAAACAAAGAAATGACCCATTTTTGTAGGTTATTCTCTTTTCATTGTAGAAGTGGGGCTGCTCTAGAGAAATACCTGGTCACATGGATAGCCTCTTCTTAGACGGGACAACTTCTCACTACAGGTGAGAGAGGGCATTTAGTCATATGTGGAAAGGCAAACCTTTCCCCATTGCAGACTTCTTAGACATCCTGTGGCATGCACAGGTTGTTTATATTTCCAGTCCTGCTGACACAGCAGTTCCAGAACTCAGGGCATAACCTTCTTGCTTACCTGCTTTCTCCATGGCCTTCTGCTCAGCACAAATCTTCCTGTGCCAAAGTTCAGCAGGAAAGTGAAGACCCACAGGAAATCCTGAGTCTTAGTTGGGAGTACTATAAGCTTCTGGTTAGTTGTACTTATAGCAGCATCTTCCCACTGGAGTGCGTTTCTTCAGAGTGGGGAGGCAGGGGGGCAGATAATGGCTCTCAAAGGCAGTGAATGGACTGTGGTTCTGTAGACTGGCCTGTACAAGCTTAGGACAGGGAGGCATAGAAGACAAGATAAAACAAGGCAATGTTATGTTCTGTAGCTTTCCCTGGCAGCTCCTCTTTCTTCAGTGGCCTTTCACAGCCCTGGAGAATCAATAGATTCTGAGTCCATTGTGGATCCCACATGCACATTCCAAATATATGACTACATGTCCATGGGAGATTACTCAAGTCAGTTTTGTTGGTGTCCCCAGCACAGTGGGGGGCAGCCAGCTTTCCATGGTCTGTAGCTCATGCCTCCTGGTGAGATCATAGAGTGAGGATGCAGCTGTTAAAAAGGCCTTCTTGGAATCAGACTCTTCTCCTTTCTTCACAACTAGGTTCAAAGTCTGCACCCCACTGGAAGCAATCCTGTCTATTATATGTTGCAGTCACATATAACTTACTTTGGGGAACTGGCTTTGTTCTGTCCTGTCTTTTTAAAAGAAAACAATAACAGAGTTGGGCAATATCTGTCTTTTGTAGAACCAAACTTCCACAAAATGTATTTATTTATTATTTATACATTTTCTTTGTTAAAGAACTGAAAGTGGCTCCTCCTCCTGCACTCAGTCTTATTCCTCACAACAACACCCTGTGGGGTAGGTTGGGCTGAGAGTCTGTGACTGGCCCAAAGTCACCCAGTTGGCTCCATGCCTGAGTGGAGACTAGAACCCAGATCACCTGAGTCCCAGTTCCAGACTCTTAACCGCTACACCTGAACACTTCTTCAGGACAAATAGAACAATAAGCAGAGGAGTGAGGAAGAAATAGAACAGTTTCCTTCTTTTTCATTCTCTTTAATTTTAAAATTACTCTGGATATACTAATTTTAAAAAATGCAACTGAAACACAACTAGCAACATTTGCTGTCTGGATAGGTAAATCAGAGGAGATGAAATGGAAGCAGGGACTGGCCTTTTTTCTTTCATTTACATGCATGTACATTATAGAGCATTATTTATAGCATGCCTGGCTAACCTGGAGACATCATACTGCCTGCCAATTGCAGGGGCTTAAGCAGGCACACCTGCTTTTCCTTCTGTGCCTAATGAACGTGTTGAGGTCTAAGCTCCCAGTAGTTGACGCAGGCAGTCCAATCACCTAATCCCAGCCCAGCCCATAAGAATCCTATTCAAGTCTAGCAACCTTGATAGGTAAGAAGCTCAGGAGCTGACTACACATTTAATGCCTGTAACTGAGCTTTGATGGGAATTACTGTCCCACAACATCATGAGGGCCACTGGTTCCTAGCCCTGCAGCAAAACTGTTTACTGTTAAGAATGCTGGCAAGTAGGAGGCCTCTGCTAATTTATTTCAGTTGATAGAGAGGCTTATATGGGTGACTAGATGCACACTCAAGTACTGGAGAAAGTGAGTGCATGTTTATCTATTATTGCATGTATATTTTTCCTCCAAGGAATGAACCAAAAGTGGCATACCTCCTCCTCTTCTTCTTCTTCATTTTATCCTCACAATAACAACCCTGTGAAGTAGGTTAGGCTGAGAGTCTGTGACTGGCTCATAGTCTCCCTGTGGGTTTCGTGGCCTAGTAGTGACTTGAACTCCAGTCTCCCAAGTCTCTAGCCCAGTGCCCTAGCCACTCCACCATAGTGGCTTTCACAGCTTTCAGAGATCTACATTTTGAAAGTGCTGGGTAGTCTGGGAGCGGAGTGGGGGGGGCTGTTGCATGGGAAGTTGATAGTGACGCTCAAGAGCATAGTCACCTAGCAACCTCATGTGGCAATTGACTACGACCAGGCCTCACACAACTAGAGCTGCAGAGTATTCCCTCACATGTTCAGAGCTGCTTAGGCTTGTGTATAGGTGTCTCTTCCCCTTTTTATCCTTACAGCAACCCTGTGAGGTACATTACACTAAGCGATAGGGACTGGCCCCGGATCATGGCTAAATGAAGACTTGCCCACACCGTCTCAGCACTCTGATCCTCAGACCCTTTTGGCTCTCACACTGAGAGTGGAGGTCAGTGGATGTGATTCGTATATCACCCCATTAGAAATAAAGCTCTGAGGCCCAAACAAGATAAAATGGTGACAGACCCCTAACTTTAAAAGCATGCATAAAGCAACAGAGGGTCTAATTTTAAGGGAAAACGGGACACCCAGGAAGTTATTATTTTTGCTTAACCCTCCCTTTGCTTTCTTTCCTACAATCACTTGCCTTAGGTACTGTTCTCTTAGTTGGGCTGTGTGACAGTTAAATCCTGGAGCAGGAGACCATTTAAAATGCACACTGCCTCTTCTCTTTTGTTCTTAAATCCTGCACTCCTAGTGTTTTATATAGGCTTAGGGCCAACATACATTTGAAAAGCCAGGTCTGCCACCACTATCTCTAGCTTTGCTCTCATTCGCAGAAAAATGAGATGTGGGGGTTGCCTTCCGTGTCACTGCCTAATGGTGTTTATTATCTTTTAAGCTAGCTTGCATCTATTATCTCTTTAAATGATCATTGGAGCTTAAATTACATGATGTGGGGGCTCAACCCATCACAAACGAAAGGTATACACCATTCCTGTTAGCTGCAGTGAAAGAGGGAAATACAGCCATGTTTGGCCTCTACCTGGCATTAATCTAAAACCCCTCTGGAAAGTAGGTTTTCTGGCTCTATATGTATGGTGGAACAAAACAAGAACATCCTGGAATTGCTTTGCCAGAGAACTCCTTCCCTGGGTGGCCGGGGACTATATTTTTATTTTGCTTATCCATGTGAAGTATTTTTATGCCACTCCTCAGCCAAAAAGGCTCCTTGGGGCAATTTACATATAATAAATCTAACAAGATATACCCTGCCTACAGACCTACAATCTGTAGTTGGGGAGAGAAGAGGCAAACATGCTGACAATGGCATTTATAATGTGATTACCTATTTACTTGTGACAAAATGTTGCAGTGTGGAATGTTTCTGTTCAGTATTCCAACTATTCCATCTGCCAGGATGCTCCATTATCCTGCCCCTCCCCCCCCCACACACAATCATTTAGCATTCTGCATGTATTGAGCACCTTCATTTTTAGTTTCTTTTTAGGGAATCCCCTTATGCTCCCCCACTAACTTTTCTTTCAAACTTCTACAAATCTTTGGGATCCCACTAATCTGCTTCCTCTTATAAATAGAAGGTGCAATTTTGACTACATAAGGATGCAGAGATCTGGGAAGTAAGTCTGCTATTACTGTGTATCAGTTTTCCCCTAACTTCTACCAAACACATACTGGTTGGGGGATACTGGGAATTGCAGTCCAGCACATTTGCAAAGCACCAAGTGTGTGGAGGAGAGGGCCAACCGTATAACATGTTTTTTCTAGAAGCCAAGGCATCTGTACATACAACAGCCCTCCCACACACTCCATCTGTTCTTATGTACCAGGGATAGCCCTTATTTTGTGATAAATCAGCTGTAACCCAACACATATGGTGGGCACCAGTCTAGGGAAGGCTGAATTAAATGGTAGTTCTGTTCTTGTAGAGAAAGATGCTCAGTTGTTTTAAAGTAGGTGTGGGCAAGCTCTAGTTTTGAACTACAGCTCCCCCTGTCCATTGGCCATGCTGGGTGGGGTGATGGAAGTTGTAATCCAAACAACTGAAAAGCATCAGTTTGCCTAGCCATCTTACAGTTTAACAGAACATGTGATCCCTTCTGAAATTAGTGCTCTAACTGCAAAAAATATGGAGGACTGCTTTTGAAGAGGGTTCAGAAGTAGAAACTAACTTTAATGAAAATAGTTAAACTATAGAATTAGCTGCCATGGGAAATGGTGATGGCCACCAACTTGGGTGGCTTTAAAAGGGGGATGGACAGATCCATGAGGGAAGAGGCTATCAGTGGCTACTGGACTTGCTGGCTGTGTGCCAGCTCCTTGCCCAGAGGTGGCATGCTTGCATGCACAAATTGCTGAGGAGCTTGGGCAGGAGGAGCTCTTGCACACCTCCTTCTTGAGGAATCCTGTGGGCAACTGGTGCGTATGAAGTGCTGGACTGGATGGACCTTGGGTCTGATCCAGCATGGCTTTTCTTATGTTCTTCAAAAGAAAAATGTTATGAAAATGAAAAGGAAAGCTATAAGAAAACGAGATTCCCACCAGCGAAGCCTTACTAAATAGTGGCAGTCATGCATGCACTTACCATGCACATCACCCTCCGTTTACACTGTTAAACCACCATAAAGCTCAGCACAGTTTGACTTTGGTGTCCGTTTTTCCTCTCAGAGCTGGAAAATGGCATGTGGTCACTGCAGCATAAGCTCTGTTCCATCATGGTGAAGCAGGAGCAGAACATGGCACCAGAACATCCAGAGCCCCACCTGCCGGCTAATGTAGTGCCCATGTTGAATCTTAACCCACTGCAGAGGTTGCCTGTCCCTGATGAGGTAAGTCCAGAGCACTTAAAGACCTGTGATAACATGTCCAAGCTTCATATTCTGATACTACTTGAGCGTTTCTTCAAGCCTTTCAACAAAAAAGAGCAGTGGTAATGCAGAATATAAAAGATGGCATCAAAAGCTGTGAATTTCTCCTGTTAGTCATCACTGATTTGAAATAGCAAAACTCCTTTATAAACAAAACTAACAGAGCAAAAGGAAAGGGGGACATTTAAGACACCTCTGGCTGGAGTGACCAAGTTCACACAACATGACAAGCCCCTGTCTCCAAGCATATTTCTGACCGCACCATGCTGATCAGAGATGCTAAAGATTTTCAAGCTAGTGATGGGAGAGGACAAGGCTCAGTGCTAGAGCTGCTGCTTGGCATGGAGAAGGTCCCGGGTTCAGTCCCTGGCATCTTCACATGGGGCAGGAAAAATTCCTGCCTGAAACCCTGGAGAGTGGCTGCCAGTTAGTGTTGACAGCTCTGAGCTAGATGAAGCAGCAGGCTATCTCAGTACAAGATGGATTCCTGAGTTCCTAATGTGAATGGATTGATCTGATTATAGTTTTAAACCACCCACTAACCCAAGTTTTAATGTGAACAGCACATTAAAAATATAACATACAAACAATACATGAACAGCAAGATAAAATCAGTTAGAAAGAACACACACTTTCTGGGACATAAAACTGATGTAAAAACAAGGGGAATAAAAGTGCCATGATCTGAAAGCACTAAAACAGTTCTCAAAATACCCCTTTCTGCCAGGACACTAGTCATGCAAGACACCTTCCCGATGTTCTTGTGGATAGTTTCCTATTAACACCTGGGTGAATTGGAATGTGACCCCAACTAATACTTAAAGGAAATTCTTAAAGGAGTACCCTAAATGCTGTTAGTTCCCTGCAGTCCCTGTAACTGTTTCACTGCTATGGGAATGTTTTCAGAGGTGTTTTGAATAGTGTGGATAGCTCTAGATGTGTGGGGGACTGGAGGTCAACAAGGTGAGCAAAGGACAAGGTGTGAGGCTGGTAAAGGATACATCGAGACCTTATTTAAGGCACACAAATGCAGAGCAGTCTCTCTTATCCTGGCTTACAACTTTCTGGGTATAATGTAAAGTGAGCGATCTCCTTGGTGATAAAGTCCAATGTAGGTTATCTTCCTTCCACTTATGGTGGGTAAAAGAAACTTATGTGAAATAAGCAACTCAGGCCAAACATATACACAAACTTCCTTCTCTGTTTATTCAGCTTGAATTCACTGTGTCTACAATGCAGATCCATGTGATGTGTATGTTTGACAGCTGGCCCAAGTTTCCTCCCCAAGCTGTGTTTACTGTCTGAGGCAGTATGAAATATATCTGTTTAATGTTTTACAAATCTCTCTCTCTCTCTCTGGCATTTGGTGGGATAGAAAGGCTGGTAAGAGAGGATCAGTCGCAATGGGGCATTGAGGAGTAAAGTGCTCTTCATGTTAACTCTTCATCTCATTTGATCAGAAGCAGCTGTTGAGTGGCCCTGCAGAAAGTCCAGTGAACGGTAGAGAGTGTTCTTTGTCTCCAAAACTCTGTGCAAATATACCCTACTCAAATTACAGCAGAAGAAAGAAAGTCTTCCCTTTTTGATCTGGAAGAAAAGCTAAAGCAGACCTTTTTAGTGACTGGAGAGAAGGTAACAGCAGAGGTGACTCTGTCCACTATGGAAATGCCACCTGTGCAATGCACCTTCCTAGCACACCTGCATGATACTTACTCTCTCTTGACGAAAGCATTCTTCTTTTGAATGGTGTCTTCCCTGGATGCAAAAGAATGTGGAGGCTTCAGCTTGCCTGTGAGCCGTGGGCTTTTGACACTCAAGTGGATAAGCATAGGTAGAACAGGAAAATTGGGGGACCATCTCTTAATCCCACAGGGACAGAGGAAACCTAGAAAGGTAGTGACTGAAATCACAAGGCATGTTGGTACACATTACAGGCTTTGTTCTAGATGAGTGCTGGTTGAAGTTGGCTCGGCCACTAGGGTCCTGCAGCTTCTGTACTCTAGCACGCATCTGGAAGGGGCCATAGCTCAGTGGTAGAGCACAAGCTTTGCATGGACAAGGAACAAGTGCTGACAAAATCTGTCTTCCCCCACCACCAATTCCTGGAGAGGCAGCAGGTGCACAAAGCAGAGGAGGTAGCAGACTGACAAGGAGCCATTCTGGACAAAGAGATAATTTACTGACAGGGCAGCCATTTATGCATCAACCCAAAAAAAGGGCAAACACTACACTGATTTGCATGCAATTTTCATATGCCAATGCATGTATTCGGATTTAAATTTTAAAACCATGACTATAACTTAAATAGAAATGAACATCTCAGCATAGTAGGGGAAACTACAGCCAGATGATGTGTGTGTTTGCCTACCTCAGTTGGCTGTCCATGTGCTAATTGTTGATGGGCCATTTGGAGGCCTGTGCTTTCTCTTCTTATGCTTATTTGTAAATGGTATTTGGACTGACCAGTCCTTCAAATAGATGATGCCTTCAAATCAAGGAATGTGTAAAGTAGGACACAGGGTCACTCTTCCTACTGGCTTCCTTCAGTGACATATCACCCCCGCTGAAGGAATGTAGCACATTTTGGAAGTATAAACCCCAGCAGCAGCACTTGATTGGTTCTTCAGGATCACTGGAATCCCTACAGGATTCTAGCCTGTGGTGTAAGCATCCCAGCTTGAATTGCTGCTGTTCTCTCATCTCACCTGAGGCCCAAATGGATTTGATGGCTTAACCTGCAAGGCTTCTGACTCAGGTTCCTCCCTACTTTCCATGCCTCATGGCACTTTCTCACTGGAAAGGAAAAAAATAAACCCAGTGCAGTTGGTGTCTGTCAGTGACACAGAATTTCATCAGCAGTAGAAGAAATCTAGGCCAAAGCAGAGCCTTGGCAACTGACAGAACTCATGCCACAACTATGCACAGCCAGATTGCCTCAGGGTGAACCCAGGTTGTGTTTTCTGACCCAGCTCCACCAAGAAGCAAATTATAAGACACCTCAAAGTGTGTAGCTGCCTTGTGAATGATGTGAACCTGCACTGCATGGTAAAGAAACCAGTTGATCTGCAGAGGATCAAAGTCATGCATGAATTGCCTTTGAGAAGTCAAAGTACTGCATATTTCATTTCACCTGTATTCTTTTACAGACTCCCATTGAAATGACACCCCAACCTGTAATCAAAGCTGAACCCAAAGAAGTTAACCAATTTTTAAATGTGCCAACAGGTAAGCTGAGGGACTCATGTGTTCTCCTTCTGGCATTTTACCCTTGTGCCTTTAATTATGAAAGAACTAACAATTGCAGAGGATGCTTCCTCCATTCCATTTGCACAAGCACCCAAATACATTGCTCATGTGGGAAAGGCGCTGGTGTTCCCTGTGGATCAGCAGGATTCACTTCTGATCTTCTTTTGTGCAATGTCTGGAAGTATTTCAGGACCTTAAAATATAGATCAAGCCAAGGTTGTATATAAGAAGCATTTACATACCTATTTGTTACTTGTTAGCATCGCAGATCCAAATTTCAAAACAAAGCAGCCTAGGATGTCATCATATACTTCTAAACTGACTTATTAAGGAAAATGCAAAAATATTTGCCAACAGGGCTTATCATTTTTAACTGAAGTAATGATAGTAGGTAAGTCCTCTGGATATAATTTTGCATCCAGGCCATGAATGTTTTTGTGATTCCTCTAATCTCATGGCTCTGAACAGGTCCCAGACTCATGTGCATCTGCTTTCCTTAGAAGCAAATGGCGTGGTTCAGTATCCATGAATCCAGATTAGAGCTGGGTCTTCCATGAGGCAGGGTTAGTGCTTCGCCTTAGATGGCAGAAGGGGAGGGGGTACAGTGGATTGGGGCTCCTACCTCTCTGCTGTGTCCCTTTCTGCCACTGCCATATTCACCTCCACCAGCCTAACTGGCTCACTGCCTTCTGTTGCTGCCATTCTGACCACCCAGCATGGAGTGCTGCCACCACTGCTCTTGTGCTTCAGGTCAGCATTTGCCAGTGTGGGAAAACAGCAGTCAGTGGAGCTCCCTGGAGTGCCTGCCTACCACATGCCGTGTTGCATGCTGTGAGGAAAGGTCCTTCTTTGGACAAAGTGCTGTGGGAAAGGCGAATCTGGAAAGCACCTGGGCCACTGTCAATTTGACCTGAAAGCAATTGCTTTTATGCTTCGAAGTTACTTCAAACTGCCTTTGCCACCATCGTGGCAGGACCTCAGCACAGGAAATCTTTGGGGCCTTCTCATCCACAATGCCTTACTCTAAGAAAGGACCTTGTTGTCAGTCTATGTCACTGAGGGTGAGGCAGCTTTGGAAAGACTGAGGGCATCCATGTTGCAACCAATAATTTAAAAAAAGCTTTTTAAAAGACCAGCTACTGTGGAGTGAGAGGCAGATATGCCTGTCTTAGATGGCGTTTTTGTGCTGACCATACATAGTGTGTATGTGTTTGCCTGTCCTGTGTGCTACAAGGCACATTTAGATACGCTGCCAGTATCCTATCAGACTTTGAAATGTTCTGCTTTAAATGATAATAATGTGCACCATTACAACTTCTGAGTACCTTGCAAAGATCTGCAGCAACTCAGTTGAGTTGCAAATATTATAGTGTTGTCAATGAAGTCTGTAATTTTTTCCCAATTCTAGCAACCGATATATGAAAATGCAACAGGCATTTTAAAGCTTTGTTGGATAAGACTTTTTGTAACAAGCCATTGGAAGGCTATTAGTGTAGGTTGCCAGTTTTCTGTGGGTCTGGTGTCACTATAAAGGATGTGAAATTTGTTTCCAGAAGGATAATGACATCAAGAATGCAGCTTGGCAGTCACTAACACACCACAGAGGGGTCTGTTTAGCACAAACGAGCACATTTACTTATTTACTTTCAAAATGTAATATCCCTCATAGGCACTGGACACTCATATTCAAGGAAGCAAACAGTATTTCATACAAAATATTAGGCCCTCTTGAATGCTTGGTTCTTCACGTCTCCCAACAAAGCAGGCTTTCTTTGTCATGAAACCACTAGGAAGTCCACCATCTTCCATTAACAGTCCAGGAATTAGGAGTCACAGTCGAGAGGCAGCAGTTAGCATATCCAGGTTCTGGCAAGCGGTACCCAGGAATACGTTCCAAAAGACTTGGTGGGGCAACTCCCATGATTGGAATGTAGCAACTGAAGAATATAACTTGGTCAAAAAGGAATAGATGAAACAGAAAGGAAAGGGGAGTAATAATATCTGTCAAAAGGAGGGAGCCCTGTGGGGAGGAACTGGGTAAAAATACACAGAAAAGAAATAAAGCACAGGCATTGTACTCAGTCTACTACAGACCATCAAACCAAGGATGTGGATGATGTTTACCTGAGTAAACCTGAGTATAAGTATTTCAGGGAAGCATGAATTAGCAGGAATGGGGGACTTCAGTGACCATGTTACCTGCTAGGAGACAAACTGTAAAGGAATTGCCAAGGAATTCCTGATTTTCTTGCTGGTGATTTCTGCTTTCAGAAAGTGCTGGGAATTTTGAGGAGGTCAGCTATCTTTGACTTGATTGTAACCGATAGGCAAGAATTTATCAGTGAGAGTAGCAGGAACTTCGAGGAAAAGTGACAATATAATACTGAAATCCATGAAAACCAACAATGAGCATAGTCAAATGGGTACCATGAATTGTACCTTGGATTTTAGGAAAGCTAGTTTTAATTTCTGAAAATAATTGTTAAGAAGAATTCCAAGTCTAGGTATCCTAACAGTGAAAGATGGTCAGGATGGATGGGTGTTCTTAAAGGTTTCTTGATGATTTTGCTTCTGCCTGCATGACTCAGTCCCCCTCCCTCCCCACTACTGCCATCATCCTATTTTAGGGCCAAGCAGGAGCTCGGCTCCTAGTTTAAGATACAACCAGGGAAGGATATAGTAGAGGAAGCACTACTGAAAAAGCATCAGCGTGGCTTCTTCAAAGATATGCCTTGTCTTACTGAGCTTTTAGAGTTTTTTGTGTCAGTCAACATGTGGATAGGGGTGATCCCATAGAATCCGTGTATCTGGACTTCCAGTGGACTTTTGACAAAGTCCCTCACTAACTACTCCTGAACAAAGTTAGCAATCACAGGGTAAGAGGGGAGGGCTCTTATACTGTATATCAGAAACTGATTAACAAACAGAAAGCAGAGATTAAGGATAAGTGGTCAGTTCTTGCAGTGGGGGAATATAAACTGTAGGTTCCCATAAGGATATGCACACTATTGGGGCCAGTGCTTTTTAACTTGTTTAGAAATTATCTGGGCTGCAGGTTGAGCAATGAGAGAGTCACATATGCTGATGACAGCAAATTCTTTAGGGTGGTTCAAACAAAATGGGATTGCAAAGAGCTCCAAAAGGATGTCTCCAAGCTGAAAAAAGAACATTAACATGGATTCAGTGTAAGCAAGTGAAAAGTAATGCACTATAGCAAAAATTCCTAGCTATGTATACCATGGTGGGGTGGGGTCTAAGCTTTTGATGACTAACCAAGAAAGGGATCTTATGGTTATGGTGAATAGCTCAGTGAAAATATTGACATGTGTAGCTACTGTGGAAAAGGCATATCCCATATCAGGGATCATTAGGAAATGAACTGAGAATAAAGCTGCAGATATCATAATGCCTTTGTACGAATCCATGGTGTAAGCACACTTGGAATACTGTGTATAGTTCTGGTCACCATGCTGCAGGAAGGATTTTGTAGACCAGTTGCTGGGGGAACGTGAGCAGGAGTGTGCTGTTGCACTCCTGCTGTGCTTATGCACTTTGCATTGGCATTTGGTTTGCCAATGGGAAGAGAATGTTGGACAAGAGATGCCTTTGGTCTGATCTGGCACAGATCTTATGTAAGTTTGCACCCTGAATAAAAAGCCCAAATGTTGACTTCCTGCTGTCTTGAGAAGATAAAAGAGCACCCCTCTACTTATATTCATAGATTTGCAAAGCTCATGGTTTACCATGTGTAAACAAGCCCAAACTGCTCCACCAAGACAGGGATATTCATGTTGGCTCCCCAACATATCATGCCACACAGTCCAGATCATAGTATAAACCAAGGAGCAAATACATAGCATAATGGTGAGAGAAGAATAATTACCTCCAGAGCAATCAAGCAAGTGAGCCAAGCTGCAAGTTCTGTCAAAAGGCAACAGAGCTGTGAGCCTATCGTCCCATTTTCAGATATATCTACCATTTAAGGCTCTGGTATAAGCACAACCAATAAGCTGAGTCACTCCAAAGTTTCAGATGCATCCACATTTAAGGCTGTGGTATAAGCACAACCATAAAGCTGAGTCACTCCAAAGTCACCCCATTATGACGAACTGCCTTATGTTAAGTCAGATTGTTGGTCCATCTAAGTCTGCTGTTTGCTCTGACGGGTAGCAACTTGTCAAAGGAAAACCTTTTAGATGGTGATGCCAGAAATGGAATCTGGGACATTCTTCATAGGAGATAATGGACTATGTGCTACACCACTGAGCCAGAACTCCTCTAATGCACCTTAATTCACAGTCCTTGCCAGAGCCAACAAGAGCAGTTCTGGCTCCATTTATGTCTGCTTCATCTAGAAATCTATGTCAGTGCAATCAATGTACCTTTTAGTGCTGGTGTTATCATGTAATTTTGCCTTGGTTTTACTGCTGCTTCTCTTAAGGTCTACTGCTTCTTTGTTACTGAATACATGCCGAGTTGGTAGGTTGCCATCCAGGCTTCCATTTCACCTAGATGTGCACCTTTTCCATTCCTCTTGTCAAATAGCTCTTCTTTGTTGCCAGCCATGAAAGACTCAGACTGCAGCTGCTGTTAACCTCTTCTCTGTATCATCCACATTAGATGACCTGGTGCAGATGCCACCTACCCCTCCCAGCAGCCATGGCAGTGACAGTGACGGATCTCAGAGCCCAAGGTCCCTGCCCCCCTCCAGTCCAGCCCGCCCTACTGCTCGCTCCTCCACAGCCATCTCTTCTTCTCCTCTTCTTACAGCACCACATGTAAGCAAAGAAAAAATGGGTTGGTGTACATGCTCAGAGCATGAGCTTCAGTGTGCCTCTTTGCAGATAGACACCTTGCATAATGTGAAAATTTGAAACTGCTTCATGCACTCACAGTCTGAAATTATCAGACCTGGAACTACAGTTTGCTAAAAATCTGAATGGTGACACTGGAATCATTCATGACCAATGCCAGAAATCAGGATTATTTAGAGCAAGGGTGTTTACCCTCTTTCAGCGGGAGGGCCAAATTCAGATCTGAAGACGCTGTTGGGAGTAGGGGTGCATTCCAGTGGGTGAGGCCAAGATTATCCTCATCTGATATTGCTGTATGAAGCACTACTGTGTTGCTAGAGGATTCCATCTGTGAGTTACCCATGCCCATTTCCTGCTTGCATCAGTAGCTGACAGGATGGATTAAATTCATCCTCCTGATCCTTGTGCCCTCCAAATCTGTCCACTTGCAGATGCTGCCCCAGGCACTTCATCCTCCCCATATGGATTTGGACATGAAGGGCCTAGAAAAACTGTGGGTGCATGGAGAATAAGGTGGCATTGTTGTGGCATAAGTGGTGGCATTGCACATCATCCCTGATCTTTGAGCCTCCAGTTTCCTGGCTTTGTGGAACTTGTGCTAACAGGAGATAGCCTTAACTCTGATCTAAAATTGGGAAGTTTTCTCAATCGCTCAATCTGTCTGTCTTCCCCAACCAGATGCTCTCTAAAGGTTTTAAACTACAGTTCCCAGCATTTCTGACTGTTAACAATGCTGGCTGGGCTGATGGAAGTTGGAAAAGTCAGGAGCACAGTAGGCTGGGGAAGCTGTTATATATTTTTAAGATGTCACAAGTCCTTTGTTTGTGTTTTGTGTAGAGTATACAAAACTCTCAAGAGAATCCTGCCCATGGAGTACTGTGGTTGAGGGAAGTGGGTATAAGGAGTGCTTCTGCTTTGTAAGCTGTATAGTACCATAACATTTCAAGTACTACTGCAGTGATTGATGGTTTGGTTTGAGGACTGTTGCATTTGAATGCAGATAAGCCTATACAGAGTGAGGGCACTGATTATATATATCTTCAGGAATGGCCTTCCCTCTATCACTCCTTACATGCCCTGTGTTTGCAATGAGAACATTTAGCAAGGATTTTTGTTGTGTTGTTTGCAGAGAGAAATTGGGGGTTGAATTGTTGGTGGATGTTCTGAAAGCATTCTTCTTTCTTCATCCTTACAGAAGTTACAGGGAACTTCAGGACCCCTGCTCTTAACTGAGGAGGAAAAGCGTACCCTAATAGCTGAAGGCTATCCGATCCCAACCAAGCTGCCTCTCACCAAAGCAGAGGAGAAAGCACTGAAGAGAGTTAGACGAAAGATAAAGAACAAGGTCTGTAATTCCACTGAATAGGATAACTCAGGATGGTATGTGTATAATTCCTGTAAGCATGTCTCTTCTCTTCCTTGCCTCTTAGGTCCACTGTTCATTTGGAAACATTGTCCTGTTGAAGCAGTAGGCTTTGCATATTGTCATACATTTTGTAGGAAGAATTTGGATCCTGAAGGAGGAATTCTACACAAATATCAAGATAATTTCAATATCCCAGTTTTGGGATATCTATCTGTCTTTCTAGTGCTGCCATTGGCAACTTGATTGAAGCGTAGGGACATTTAGCAGCTGAAACTGCCACAAAATGGTTGCCACGGCAAATGGTTGCCAGAAACTGTCCTGGGTACTGCCACAAAATGGTTGCCACGGCAAAGGACAAGTGACCTGCCATAGAGGCTGAGTATGATAAAGGCAGGGTCTGAGCCCCAGGACAATAAATAATTCCTTTTAACCCAGAGTTTTCAACACCAACAGAAACCTGTTTCAAAGCTATCCAAGCTGCTGCTAAGAAAAGTGGGCACCTTGTCAGCTTCCAAAAATGGTGAGCTAGCATACAATAGGGTCCATGGACACCATAGAGCCAAAATCCAGTCAAGTGCCACTGTTGTGCCTGGTGATTTACACAGTACAAAAAGGCAGGCTTCTTCCCCTGGAGCTTCGAGTCTCAAGATTGGCACAGGGGAAACTACAGTGGAAGGGAAGGAAGCAGAGCTGGGTAAACAGGAATCCATGTGCTGTTGTTTCAGTTACCTGTGCTTGGGCTTAGTTATGAAAATCATAAAAGCAGGACCATATGACGAACACCTGTGCAAGTCAGAATAAGCCTTGGTCAAGCATTACCACCATGCTTCCCCCTGCCCCACAATTCCTTTGTTGTGGTTGGGTTCACACAATTAATTATGCATAGGTGATTATGCAGATCATACAGTGTGTGACAGGCACATGTGGGGAAAGGAAAGAAACTTCAAAATAGTTGGCCTCTGTTTAAGATACAAACAGTAGAAAGATTTGTTGGGGCAAGAATGCTGGATGTCTCCATTTGAAAAGTCATGGGGTGCTTCCAGACAAAGCTTTTATTATGCCTTCACCCGGCCTCACTCACAGAACTTCATAGGGGTTCCAGGCATTCCATGTTGTATTTGTATCCATTCTGTGTTTTCCCCCTGCTACTTCAGTCTTTTATTCTTACTGCAGAAAATCTGATGAGGAGGTAAAGATGGAAAAATGCGAGGAGCCCTTTACCTGGAAGCATCCGCTCTTTTCCTACTCATAAAACCTCAGCCTCTTCTTCCATCAAACCCTACATGCATGCCCCCCATCCTTCCTTCTTTCCTTGTAGTTGTCTATTCCTTACCAACATGTTATACCACCAATATGCAATGTTAACAATATACAGTATTCATAAATTTCCCAAGATGCATCAGTTAAGAGTATTAATATTCATTTGCCTTATTCAATGTAATGTCACAACTTGGTTCTTCTAACTGCAGAATTTAGAAGACTGGAAGGGTGTTCTCCCCAGACCACCCCTTTCTTTTTTAATATACGAAAATATTAAATCAGCCTTGCTTGATTTAGTTTACCATTACAACAAAAATGTTTGCAGTTTTCTACCCACTCACTTGTAGCTTTGTTTACATAACGGGCAATGTGAATGGTTCGTTTCATCAACTAATTGCCCAGAAGGAATTGTTTCTCACCAAAGTGAACGAGCAAGCTATTGTCTGCAAATTGGTATTAAATTCTAAATACTAATTGTGGGCTCCCACTAAATGTGAGCTCCCATATTAAGAACCCACAGTACACATTAGTCACCTGTTGTGACTCAGAGATGCACTTCAGAGCAAGAGACAGTTATTTTGTGAATGATTCAACTGCTTCTGGTAATCCTGATCCACAGGGAAGTAAATCAGAGACATTGTCTACAAGCTGGTTTACACTCTGATCATAATGTGAACATGATTCATCAACACACACATGCTTAAAATAGGATGCTAGCCCAAAGCAACATGCCATATTATGCTGATCTTGCGGGAACCTGATGATGGTGTCTCGGGCAGAACAGCAGAAGTCTCAGAATAAGGAAGGGCAACACAAGAGTTTGTTCCCAAGACTGTGGACAAGCCATGAAAGTGCATACACACTTCTGAATGTACTTGCTGTGCATCACTGTTGCTACAAAAGTAGCACAGTGGGATATAAAAATGCTATTATATAGATCTCTGCATGAAGACAAGGTGCATGTGATGTTGAAGAACTTGCAAGACGAAGCACAGCTTCCACATGCTTCTTGTCTCAGTTGATACTGGAACATGAGGAAGGGCTCTGAAGAATGTGTAGTGCCCAGGGAGGCAGCATTCCTGCAGGGACCCATCTGCTCCTGGTACTACAGGACACCAAGCTGCCCTACCCTTCCCACATTTTTTTCAATTAACACATTTTCTTACTGGCAACAGGGTCTGTTGTTTCTGTTGGCACTGAAAATTGTGAGTTCAAAGGAGCTTAGTGTGTTTGAGTCTTGGACTCCACCACTATCATATATTCATTCCTTTGGGCAGATTATTTATCATTTCCCATGCCTTCTTTGGTAGCCTGGTGGTGTCCAGGGTGATTTCTTAAAATGGCCAATGTGCATATGACCCAAGAAAGGCAATCACACAGAAAAATCTCCTGTGGCTTCTGTCTGATTTCCCTTTTAAAGAACAGCAAGGGATCCATGTTAGATGGGGGTTAGAAAACAGGTTGTCAGCCTTTCTTCCCACACCATATCCACAATTTAACCATGACCTCTTGAAGCTGTCACAGAGCAAACATACTGCTTCCAGGCAGGTAGGTATCCGTATACGACCTGTGTGTTTGGCCCTGTGGATCAGATGGCAGCTTCTTCATCTTCAGATCCAAATCTAACTTGATCCCCTCCTTTTAAAAATGTGGAAGATCATGTTCACAATCTCCTGCATCACATTTGGTTTGACCCTGTGAATGAAAATATGTGAATAGTTCATATGGGGTGTGTTCAGGCCATTAGTGCTGCTAATGTTTGTATTCCTCATTCCTCAGATTTCTGCACAGGAGAGTCGCAGGAAGAAGAAAGAATATGTCGAGTGTTTGGAGAAAAAGTGAGTAGCTTCTTCTCTCTGAGCAGCCACGCTATGCAAATTCTAAACTAGCAAGGTCACCGCCCTCTCTTGCAGTATAAATTGAAGATTACTGTACTTCTGGTTAGGAATGCAGGGAGATTTTGTCTGATCCACATTTTTAAGCAAACCAACCTGACCTGCGCTCCCCAGACCAGATCAAAATGCAGTAATCCTTTGGCTTCCTCATTTCTCCCAGTGTTGTAATGTACTTCTCAGCTAAAAAAAAACCAACCCCCTCCCCCCGTCACAATTTATTACATTTTTATACTGTTCCCATAGCCCACAGGACTCTCTGGGTGGTTGACAAATAAGATATAAACAATGATAAAATAAGCAATTACACAACATTAAAAACCAGTCAAAAAGCAAATACACAAAACTTGTCAACTCACAGTGATAATACCATTTGGCTGTCACAAATGATGCTCCACCTGTGGAACTAAGCTCTGTACCAAAAGGAGAATCCAACTAAAGTCATGCTTGCACAACTACTTGCACAACAGAACAACTCAGTGGAGCTTTACCAGTGCTATTTGTGTTTGCAGAATGCTGCTGTTGGACACTGTTTACCGTGTGTTCCTTGAAAAAAGATTTCAGACTTAGGTGGAACTTGAAAATTGATTCATGGGGGCATACAAGTGAAACTGATTCAAAGGAATAAAGAGGGATTTCTACAATAGGACAAATCATTTCCAAAAGTCAAAATACTCACAATCCTTTTTGGCTTAACTTACTGCCCAGTGGACATGCTCCTTCTTATGCATTACTTCCATGCACTAGATTACTTACATTAGTAAGTGATTACTTATTACCACAAGCACCAATATTGCTATGAACACAGTTCACCCATGCTAAATCTAAAGCTGCTAAGCGAGTGATCCTATGATTACTTAGACATTGGCTAGGAGACCATAGGATCTTGCAAAACCCACCTCTGAGGTCAGAAAGAGGGCTCCAGCCTCTGAGTTGGGCTTCCACACTTCAATCATCCACTCTCTGTCCCTCATGGCCAGCATGGAAAGAGCAACTCTGGCTACTTTTCTGAGCTTGGAAAATTGACATGGGAGAGGGGGTAAAGGGGCAGGGATGGGCAGATGGTGTGCCAGCATCACCCCCTCCCCTTCTAAAGCTGCTGTCTAGCTGAACTGCGGAGTAAGAGGATGCAGAGCGGAGCTTCCCTCCACTAGCTTCCTCACTCTGCACTGGATGGTTGTAAGCCATCAGATTTGGAGGGCACAAATGATAGGACTGTGCCCTAAATCTCTTTTGCTTTCCCCCTTCTGTCTTTGTCCTCCATATTTCTGTTCTAACAAAGTTATGAAATGTATAATACATAGGAAGTTATTTTATATCAAAGAGTATAATCTATCCTGGGAACTTTATACATTTCAAGCACCTAACAGACTTGACCATTGGAAGCTCAGTTTGAGGAGAATGAGATCATTTTTCCTCCTCTTGTGTGCTAGTTATTTGGCGGTAGAGAATAATGGGTTTACACTGCAGCCAGAAAGACTTAGAAAGGCCATTCTGACTGTAAGAGATGAACGGGGGTTTCAGAGCCAAAGTAGATGTAACATGGGGAATCCATGATCTTCAAAAAAGAAATGAATATGAATTGGTAGCCCCGTGCATCCATTATAAAGATCAGGAAATTGGTGCTGGGGGAGACTTCCTCCTCAATCCCATTTTTTCAGTCTATATCGCAACACCACCACGGTCACAGCTGTTCTTAGCCACTTCCCCAGTCTTCAAACCATTCATATTTATTTGCTTATTCATTTGATTTATAGCCCACTTTTTCTTTTTTTAAAGAACTTCAAGTGGCTCACATCATTCTCTTCCTCCTGCTCTCAGTCCTTCCCCACAAAAACAACCCTGTGAGGGAGTTTGGGCTGAGAGTTTATGACTGGCCCAAAGTCACCCAGTTGATTCCACGCTGAGTGGGGAGTAGAACCCAGATGGCCTGACTCCCAATCCACATTTAACCACTACACCACATTGGCTATACATAAGGAGCTAAGGATAAGTTTTAAAATGCCACAAAATCTGCAGATTATCCTGATCATGGATTTCCCATGTAACCACCTCTACTTTGATCCTTGGAAGTTTGTAAAGGGTCTTTATACCCTTTATGGTTTCAACTTTCAGAGGCAGATAGGGCAAATATCTAGTGGGTAAACTTATTTATTTAAAGTTTTTATATGCCAGCCCCATTGCTACACAGCCTCGGGACGGCTCACATCATAAATAAATAAAACAAACAGAATAACATTTACAATTACAATTTACAATTAAAACTTGGAAACACACTGGCTGCATAATTAAAACTATAAATATTAAAGATTATTAAAATACTGTTTGAATAAAAAGGTCTTGGCCTGGCGCCAAAAAACAAATAATGACGGCACCAGACGGACCTCTCTGGGGAGCGCATTCCACAGATGGGGCCCCACCGCAGAGAAGGCCCTCCTCCGAGTACTTTGCTTCCTAATATCTCTTACAGAGGGCTCCTGGAGGAGAGCCCCTGCTGCCGATCTCAAGGGGCAGGAAGGCAAATATGGCCACAGGCATTCCTTCAAGTATCTGGGTCCCAAGCTGTTAAGGGCTTTATAAGTAATTACCAACACCTTGAATTGAGCCCGGACTTCGATGGGAAGCCAGTGAAACTGGTAGAGGACTGGGGTTATATGAGAATAATGCCCAGTCCCCGTCAGCAACCTGGCTACTTTATTTCACACCATCTGAAGTATCCAGACTGTTTTCAAGGGCAGCCCCACGCAGAGCGTGTTACAGAAATCCAACCGGGAAGTAACCAATGCATGAGTCACTGTCGCTAGGCAGTCGTCCTCCAGGTAGGGACGCAGCTGACGGATCAACCGAAGCTGATGGAAAGCGCTCCTCACCACTGCTGACACTTGAGCTTCCAAAGTCAGCTCCAGGTCGAGGAGCATTCCCAAGCTGCGGACCCTGTCTTTTATAGGGAGTGCAACCCCATCCAGGACAAGATCCAAGTCACCTACCCAGGAGTTCGAACCACCTACCAGCAGGACCTCTGTCTTGTCTGGATTGAGCTTCAGTTTATTGGCCCTCATCCAGCCCATTACCTCGGCCAGGCACCGGTTCAGTACAGCCACTGCCTCACCTGGATTGGTTGAAAAAGAGAGGTAGAGCTGGGTGTCATCAGCGTACTGATGATTCCGCAGCCCACACCTCCGGATGACCTCTCCCAGCGGTTTCATGTAGATGTTGAAGAGCAAGGGGGACAGAATAGACCCCTGCAGAACTCCATGTCTAACTGCCATGGTGCAGAGGTAAAGTCCCCCAGCACCACCTTCTGGAATTGGCCGTCGAGGTAGGAGTGGAACCACTGCCAAGCAGTGCCTCCTACTCCCAGTCCCCTTAGCCTATCCAGAAGGATACCATGGTCGATGGTATCGAAAGCCGCTGAGAGGTCCAGGAGAACCAACAGGGACACACTCCCCCTGTCTCTCTCCCTGCACAGGTCATCATACAGGGTGACCAAGGCAGATTCAGTACCATACCCAGAACTGAAGCCAGACTGAAATGGGTCCAGATAATCAGTCTCATCCAAGAGAGCTTGGAGTTGTCCCACCACCACCCACTCCAGAACCTTGCCCAAAAATGGGATGTTGGCCACCGGTCTATAATTGAAGGCCATCTCTGGATCCAGGGACACCTTCTTTAGGACCAGCCTGACTACCGCCTCCTTTAGAGGGGCAGACACCCAGCCATCCTTCAAAGAGGTGTTGATGACCTCCCGGATCCAGGAACCAATCCTGTGTTTGGCTTTAGATAGTAGCCACGATGGGCAAGGGTCCAGTACCCAGGTGGTGGTACGTACTTGTCCAAGTACCTTGTCCTCATCATCAGGCCGCAATAACTGAAACTCATCCAACAATGTGTGACCAGACAGTAACATTGGCACCTCCCCTAAGGAATCTGAGTCACTAGTGGAGTCCAGCTCATGACGAATCTGAGCGACTTTCTCCTTGAAGTGCTGCGCAAAGTCATCACAGCGGGTTATCGAGGATGGTACAGTTTCTTTCTTGGGGCCTGTTTGTACCAGCCCCTGTACCACCCGAAAAAGTTCCGCTGGACGGCACTGTGAGAAGGCAATGGAAGTGGAGAAGAATTTCTTCTTCACTGCCCTCACCACCACAGCACAGGCCCAATAATGGGCTCTTAAGTGTGTTCGGTCAGATTCATCCCGTGATTTTCTCCACCTACGCTCTAGTCGTCTCCCAACCTGCTTCATTGCCCATAATTCAGGTGTGTACCAAGGGGATGAATGGGCTCTGCCTGGCGGGAGAGGACACTTAGGAGCAATCGTGTCAATAGCTCTGGTCATTTCCCCATTCCACAGTTTGACCAGAGAATCAACAGGAGCGCCAGCTTTATCAACTGGAAACTCCCCCAGAGCTTTCAGGAATCCATCCGGATCCGAGGGCGGACCCACACAATAGGGTCCACACCCTTACAGAGGGAAAGGCCGTCATCGAGCTCAAACCTCACAAGGAAGTGGTCTGACCATGACAGGGGAGTCAGACACAAATTCCTCACCCTCAGATCACCCTCTTCCTGTCCCGTCAAGAAAACCAGGTCCAGTGTGTGTCCACATTCATGGGTCAGGCCAATGACATGTTGAGACAGCCCCATGGCCGTCATGGAGGCCATGAAGTCCTGAACTTACCCCATGACACCTGGGTAGCAGCAGTTAAATGCTTCGAATCACATGTAGGCCCCTATGTACATGGCTAAAGAAAAGGAGTTTTTCTTTGTGCATTTATTACAAAAAGCATTTAAGAAAGATTTATGTTTTTGGCAAGGCTTTGGAGTGAATGTAATTACCATTGTTGGTATTTTCTGCATTTTATTTGTCTCTGGCCTCACAGTTTACTCCCAGCACAGAGACATATGTGTGTGAATTTATGAATGTATTATGTTTGTGTATGTGTGGATACACATACACACACATACCTACATTACTTCATGGATCTGATGGGTTGTAGTCCAGAAAAGCAGATCCTATCCATTTCCAATTTGGTGTCCTTCACACGGGTTTGATTATAGTTCCCATAATCCAAGGCCAATATAGACACACTGGCTGTGCATTATGGAAATGGAAGTCCAACACATCTGGAGAACACCATCTTGGGAAAGGCTGATTTATGCCATCATAAATGTGTTAATTTTCCAGGCACCGTAAGATTCTGTTGCTTATGGTTCATGAAGTTTCCCCAGTTTCCCAGCAAGTAGTATATAAATCTAACAAATAAATATGGAAAAGTATGAATATGTAATAATGCGGCTTAGAATGGGCTGTTTGACCATGTATGTAATCCTTACGTAAATGAAACATCAGTGTGAAAAGGTGTGAGTGCACCACCTGTTTTTGAACTCTTGAGCTTACAAATGTGGTTTGTCCAGATTTTACTTGTCTAGGGAAATAATAGGATGGGTCTCTAATCTTCTTAACTATCCCACTTGACTGGTATAGTGAATGTAAATGCAATAATAAATGTGAAGAATTTTAAACACTAAATGCTAAGTAAAAGACAATCATAGCTACTTATCATTATTACATTACATGTATACATACCCACTTTTTCCCTCTGACAAAGAATCCAAAGCAACTAACATGATCTTCTTCCCCTCAATCTTATCCCCACAATAATCTTGTGCAGTTGGTTAGGTTGAAAGTCAATGGGTGGCTCAAAGTCACCCTATGAGCTTCACTGCTGAAAAAAGAATAAAACTTGGGTCTCCAAAGTCATAATCCAACATTCTCCCCACTGTTCTGCATAGCGAGCATTCTGAAAGAGCTACAAGAATCTACCCAGTCTTGTTTTTAATAACTTCTTTGTTGTTTTATTTATGGTTGTATTTTAATGCTTTTTTTTTTTAATGCATTTCTATTGCATGGAACGTCTTCAAGTTGTAGAGTGGAATACAAACCGCCTTTTAAAAAGAAAAGAAAAGAATAATACAGTACCTACAGACAGGGTTTATTTTTGGACAGATTCCTGCATTTTCACCTATGGTGCTATGCCACTTTTAAACATGTGTCTTACAAGGCAGAGCAAGCATGTTTTGTAAACAGGCGGCAACTGCAGTAGAGCTTAATACCAAACTAGATGTGAGACTTCTCTACATGAGGCATTTATTAAGTACTTGCGATTCTTCACTCATGGTTGTTTGCAGTGCTTTACCTCAAAAACCTCTCTTGTGCTTTCCAAGCATTCTGTCTGTCTCTCGCGAGCTCTCTCTCTGAGCTAAATGTAGTATTATCTGGAAATGATGGAGCAAAGGGCAATGAGACACTGTGTATTTTGTCATTCTGCTGCACCACAGTGCCACCTTGTGGTTGTGTAGTGAAACCTATAGAAAGGCAGGAAACAAAAAGCCCATGCGGGGTGGGGGGAATCAAGTGTAAAGGAGCTGATGGTAATCCTGTAAAAACTGCCTGATGTGATGTCAGTTGCATGATTGTGATTAACATACACATTTTATTAACCGGGCCTTGTCTTCACTCTCCAGGGTTGAAACATATACATCCGAGAACAATGAACTGTGGAAAAAAGTGGAGACGTTAGAAAATGCAAACAGGTGAGGGGAATCTAAATTTGGTCTTTGAATGAAGGACTCTGCCAAGCAGGGAATTCAGGAGAATGCTGGGAACAAAAAGGGAAGGGAAGATCACCCCCTGCACACATGTGCACATACTTCTTGACAGACTTTTAGCTACTTTGCGAGGCCTGTTTCTTCCTCCGGTAGTGGCAGCAAGGTGGTAGGGTTTGGTTAGTGAGTGAGGAATGGTAGGAAGAACTCTTCCTGAAGAAATACAGCCAGAGGGTGGGAGTGAATATTGGTCAACTTCCTCCTCCTCCGCTCAGTGGATTCAACTCCGGTCCTCCAACTCTGCTGCTTGCTTCCAGAGTGACTCTGAAGTTGCCCATTTTGTCCTGTTCTGAGAAGCCTGACCCTCTCTTGTTGGTCTCCTTGGCCTTGGCTCTGACTGGCTGGCAGCTTGGATCCTTTTCTAGGGTGAGGATGATGATCAGTGCCAAGTAGATATAAGTTGGAGTTACTAACCTAGGAAGTAGGGGGCAAGGAACAGCTGAGAGAAGCTAGTATTCAAGGAACAGAATACAGAAAGGGGCTCAAGGGCATCTTAACTGAAGGGAGGCTGGACTCACTCACTAAAGGCCATTTGCAGAATGTCCAGGTTAGAAGCTGAGTGATGCAGTTATGTCATGTTAGCCTCTGGGCTTAATGGGGAGGGGGACTCCCTTTTGATTAGGATGAGCAACTTGAAGCCTTTGTTCTGCAATTGCTATCAGTCTTGGCCAACGTAGAAAACAAAGCGATGATGGGAGCTGCAGTCCTCCAGATTTTATTTATTTATTTAGCATTTTTGTATGCCGTCCCCTTTCTATATAGCCTCGGGACGGCTCACACAAATAAATAAATATAATACAAATACAGTTAAAACCTGGAAACACCCTGGCTGCACAATTAAAACCTATAAATATTATACATTGCTAAAATATTGTTTGAATAAAAAAGTCTTAGCTGGTGCCAAAAAACAAATAACGACAGTGCCAGGCAGACCTCTCTGGGGAGCGTATTCCACAGATGGGGCGCCACTGCAGAGAAGTGTCCCATTCATACTTTAGATGGTAATGTACTGAATGTTACTTATCTCAAAAGGTGGTATACCAGCACTGCCACTTTTGGGGGCCTTCCTGCTCATTGGTCAGGGCTTTGAATGTCTCCTCCCAGAGTTCACCCCTTTTGGCACCCCTGGAACAGTTATCTGTGCAGAGAAAGAGGACAGGAGTTGAGTTTGAAGTCAAGTAGTATGTGAGAGCTCTCTGAAGGAAAAGGGAACTGAAGGAAAGCCCTTTCTTTCCCAGGTCTTCTGTCATGGCTGAATGGTTGAGGTTGTGGTCAATAGCTATATTAAATGGGACTCTTTCCTATGGTCTTTGATGAGACACAGACACAAAGAAGAGAGCCCTTTTCTGACTGACATCAGCCTGTGCTTTGGTGGCCAATTCTGCCCCCATCACCCCACCCCAAACAGGCCTGTCTCTGTTAGGATCTGGTTAGGGCCTATTGCTTCCAGTCCATGCTATCCAAGGCACCAGAGTAGCCATAACAAAGAAGCAAATATCCTCTTACCATGGACTGGACCTCTGCCTGCACAATCCATGGGGCCCCATTCTTCCCATCTGGCAGTATCCCTGCCCAAGGAATGTGTTTTCTTTGACGCTTGCTGCGGGGAGACAAATATCCACTTCATGTAGCAATAGGAGAAAGCAGCAGGAGGGACCTGGAATTTGCCTAGCCTCCCATGAAGGGCCAAAGCAAAGAGAAGTATCAGCTCATAAAACATGGGCAAAGACAGCTGCTCTGGGGACAACGCCTTCACATCCTCCTGCACTATACTAGGTTACTATGTTCCACTCTCATTTTATTTCCCTTCCCAGACTGCAGGCCAGGTTCACACCAGTAAATTCATCAGGCCCACTTCACTTTCAGACACATTTCTGTCTGAACCCCTACTGCTTCCATGAGCATTATGCAAGCACAGGCTCTGGCCTTCTCTTTCCAGCATACCTGGATTAACTATCTGGCTGGATTAACAGACTATCTGGCTATTTGCCCTATAGGAAGCAGAGCCAAATAGCACTAAGGGATGTCCCCCACATGGCTTCTGAATCACTGGATCCTTTTGGAAGAAAACGTGTGTGGATGGACAACTTCAGATGCATGTGTAACCAGTACAGGAATGAAACAAAGCCCTTTTGATAAACCTCTTGAGGCATTTAGCACCATTTCGGATGGTCTCATGTACTGCTCCCCAGCATGGCTCTTCCAGCTAGACACAGAGATTGCTTGAGTCTGTGAGACTTCAGCCAAACAGGGAAACTATGTGCTAGGACCTTGCTATCCTGAACCTACCCCCTTGCTTAATCTCACCTGCACACTTGATCTGACATGCAAGCTTTTTGTGGGAGTGGGGCTTTCTGCCCTCATTTAAAAGTGCCCCAGCACTCTCATTTCCTCCAGTTGCCTAACAAGGGGCTTCTGAGTCAGGCTTTCTGGTTTGTTGCCACTCCATAGAGACCAAGGAAATGTCAAGCACATCCTCTGGTTTTTTTCAATGGCTTAAAAGCTTTTCACCAGTAGGTTAAATAGCTTTATGGTGGTGGTTGTTGCCTGCCATCTGCTGGACAATCTGTGAACAGCTGTGTAAACACTTCCTCCCAAAATAATAATAGTAATCTGCATTTCTTGTCCTGTGCTAGCCTGAATACTGGATCTCTCCACCCTCCATCAGCCTTCTTTCACTGCTAAAGTTTGTTTGTGTTCCTCACAATAGTTCTGCTGAAATTGGCCCTCCAGTGCTATGTACTCCAAATGAGTTCTAAATCATAGTTCACTGTTGATAGGAATGTTTATATCACTCAAACTGTCCACATCATTCTTTTCAAAGACAGCACCAGGAGGAGAAATCCAGCATTCAGCCTACAGCCTGGTGAAGCATTGATCCAGCACTGAACCCCAAACACATTAAATTAATATTAATAATAATACCAACAACTAGGATTTGCATTTACATTCCACTGACAATGTGTGAATCCTACCATGGCTGAGCAGTTCCAAAGACAGCTCCTGCATTATTCATTCATTCATTATTATTCTTCACTGTGAAGTTACCAAATTGCTCTAGGAAGCTCACAAAGATCAAAACACTGAATGGCAACATGATAAAACATAATGTAAAACCTCCGACATATAACATTTTTGAAACAGCTAAAACAATTAAAAAGCAGAAGTGGACCCTTAAAACAACATATAAGAGTCCTGTCAGATGTCCTCGTTATCGAAATGTGTGTACAAATTTAGTGTAAGCTTTACAAGGACACTATTTGCATGCTTCTGTAGATAGGATTCTACTGTGCCCTTAATTGATTTTTATACTTCATTATCTTAAACTATTCAGTGCATATGGTATTCCTATATTAGAGAATCTGAAAGTATTATTTTCTGAATATTTAATTTATTTGATTTGGTTTCATTCTTGTTTTGTCCCCTAATTAAACAAACAAATAAGGATTTTTACTAAAAGCTCAACCTTTTCCAATGCTGCTCTTTTCCAGGACTCTCCTCCAGCAGTTACAAAAGCTGCAGGCTTTAGTAGCAGGGAAGGTTTCAAGGCCATACAAAATGGCTTCCACACAGACAGGGACCTGCCTGATGGTAAGACTGGCATGTTTTCCTTTCCTTATTTGGTTAGTATTGAGCCTTATTGCTCTGCCTTTCCCAGCTTTTGCAATATTTGTTTTAATAGCTGATAAAGGTGGTGCAGAGGTGGCAGTTCTGCAGATTCCTCAGGAATCTTTTTGGCTTGCCTTCTTATTTGGTCCTATACAGGCCTCTGATGTTCCTGCTCAGTCATTAGATTGGCAGAAGGCAAAGCCCCCACTTCCTTACCCCTTCACATATAAATGGTAACATGTATTAGCACATATATCAAAAAGATTTGTATTCTTATTTCTTTTTAATCCTCACTAATGTAGTTCGGCTATTCTTGCTATACATTGATACATAAACCTAAAATCCCAGTAGGCAGGGTCGGCCATAGGGTGAAAGAAAGGCCTCTCTCAAAGGAGACCCAACCATGGAGTTCCCCTCTGTGCTCCTATGGAAACCTCCAAGCCCAGGTCTTCAACAGGAAATGAATTAATTTCCTCCCATTGAAACTATAAACATTCATACCAGTGATGCATTCATTAAAAAGGGGTGGGTGCTGCTCCTCCTCCGTCACTTTTGCCTTGTTGGCAATAGTCCAACAGGATCTAGGATCCTTTTAAACCTCTGCAGTTGGAGACTCTCTCTCCTCCCCCATCACTGGAAAGGTTGTTTTGTTAGTGCATTATGAGCCTAGGCTTCCCTCTTGCTTCTCTGGCAGAGGTCCCTTTTTAACAACTTCATGATGGACAGGAATTCAGCAGCTGAAGCTTATTCAATCTTCTGCCTGTTATGCAGCTATTAGACAGAGGAGCCCTGCTAGAGAAAAAGGTGTCAGCAGGGTATGAACAAGAAAGAAATGTTACATTTTAGTAGCCCCTGATTACTGCTCCTCATATTTCTCTTCTGAGGATATAGGGTTTCAGATGAAGACTAAAGAGATCCAGGTCCGTCCCACCTCAAGCAATAAATATCCCACAGTCTAATGGATCTTGTGGGGTTGTTGCAATGACAGAGGAGGGTGAGAACCAGGAGCACTGCTCTGGGCTCCTTGAAGCAAGGCAGGGCGAACACAGAGGGACTAAATAACTTGGCTATATTTAACCCGTGTTGTGAGCCGCCCTGAGGCTTCGGCGAATGGGGCGGCATAGAAGCTTCCTAAATAAATAAACCCTAAAGTTCAGAGGATTTGTATAGGGTACAATTATAACTGTTGTTTAGAAATCACATGGAATAATTCCACATTAAACATGTACTCACTAATTCAATTCTACTAATTTTTCAAAAGCACTGTAGTGACCTGCTATTCTGCACGCATGCAGGTATGCACTCAAGAACGCGTGCACACAGTTTGCAGCCCAGTTGCCCAGTACAGTCCATACATACAACCATGTTGTTTCTCTTTGTTGGCTACACTGACTATTTCTACTATCTCCTCTCCACAGGTCCTAGTTTTGTGCTTTGTTCTGGTTCTGGGCTCCATGATGCCATGTCTCCCAGAATTCTCTGCAACATCACAGACAGTCAAAACAGCTCCAAAGCCAGACATTTACACAACCAGCAAAAGTGAGTCAAAGATGATCTCATCCTTGGTTAGTGCAAAGCTTTTGAAGAGTCAGGCCAGTATCAAGCCACTACGGGGCCTGCCCTATCATTTTTAGAACATTGCGCAAATTACCCATCTGTCCCAACAACTCCAACAACATTTCTTCCATGTGATCCATTTTATTACAGGGATATATCATTCCATTACGTTAATGCATTACATTTTCCTGGGTATCTTTTCCTGTTGGCTCCAGTTTGTTCTTTTCATTGCCTGTACATAAGCTGTGCAATGAAAAGTTCCTTGCCATCCCAATGATTAATTTTCTTTCTCTTTCCCAGGCTTAGATGCTTCCTGCCCTGCTCTCCACACTGTGGAGAGAAGTGAACAAGTTAACTGCAAGGTCTCCTTGACCTGGCAAGATAAAACGCCAAATCAAGTTTCAAATAAGCATATGTTGTCCCAGTTCATTTGTTTGTGGTCAGGCTGCTGGGAGAAGTGCAGCAGCTGTGCCAATAGAAGGAGACAATGCAGGAAAAACAAAATACATTTCTACTGTCAAGTGTGGAAATACATCCTCCTTTTGAGGCAGAATAAGGATTTTTCCTGTGTCTTGTATCCAGAAGTGAGCAGGTCTGGATGCTTCAGGAAGTCTGTAATGGAACAAGATATTGCTTCTATTTAGGACAGACTTTTGCCCACCATTACAGACACACCCCTCTCTTTGAAGGTGTTCTCTCTTTAAAGGCTCCTTGGCTGCTTTAAAGACAAAGAAGCAGAAGGAAGGGAGGAGATTAGGGTCTTGATGTTGCCCATCAGCCATTAGCCACTTCCTGGGCAACAGACCAAGTAGGCACAGTAGTGTCAGTTTTCTCCATTTCAGTGAGATGTATTCTGCTTCTGTTTAAATAATAATAATTCTGAAATGCTCTACACAGTTTAAAATTCAGGTATACCACACATACAGATATGGGTGCTGTGAGGCTGATATTCTTGTTGTCAATGAACTCATCTGATCCTCCTTAAAACAACAGCACTCTAGTATTTCCTTCCAAGGGTTGAAGTTGGGAATACAATGAAATTAACAGAATCTTTTGTGTTATTAATTTTTATTCATAGCCATCATCACATCTCATTGTCTTCCATCATTTCTACAGAAAAAGATTCCTGTCCCCAAAATGTAAATAAATTAAGAACAGTGCTCATGCGGGTGGCAACTAAGGAGAGGAGACTGACAGCAGTCCAAGACGAAGGCTACAAGCTATGCAGAAAACTGCACTCCTACAACCATTATCACGACAACCCTCCCTGGTCCTTTCCCTGAGTGCCTGTGTCTATCACCTCAACTCTACATGCACATGCTTTTAAGATCCCTTGTCCAGCCAATGAGTCTTTCATTCATTCATTCATTCATTCATTCATTCATTCATTCAAAACTTTTATATGCCGTCCCCTCATGCCTCGGCATCTCGGGACGGCTTACAACATAGAATTAAAACAATAAAACAGTAACACACAAAGCACAAAGAAATACAAACTAGAAACAAGGGACTCATTCTCATAAAAAGCATTCAAGGTGATAAACCTGTGTGGGCTGCTCAGGTGGAGGCTTCCGTGATGGGATACTCCATCCAGCCTTAAAGATGATTAAATACTGTCCATTGAGAATCAGTATATCAGGGAGAAGTGTGCAGCAGCTCTTGTACCATTTGCCCTTCTGACTCCTCCAAGCTTCCTTAACCTGGTGATTTCCAGTTGTGTTGGGAGTACAACCCCCAGCTTGTGTCCAGTAGTGAGTTTTCTACAAATGTGCTAAAGTTCAGGACCTACTGTATTTATGCCCTGTTAAGTACTGAATAAAAGAGCAATGCAGATACTTTACTTCAGAGAATTTGCATAAATCTCTCTCAACATTTTGTAAGAGTTAAATTTGTGCAAACCTCCCTGAAAATGGAAAAAGCACTGCTAAATACAGAGATTTTCCCAAAGGTGAAAAGAAAAGGTGTGGCCATCTTGGGACATGGCAAGATGGAGAAATAAATTGAATAGTGTCATTTCAAGCCATAATACTGAAAGTATATCATTCATGAGATTGCAAGGTACAATCCAGTTTTTCACTGTTCTTCCAACTTCCAACAAGCCGTGCACAAGCCATTCTGCTGGGTTTGCTTGTCATGATAAGCATTCTAAAAATAAGCCATCCTGTAAAACCCAACAATGAGCTATGAGTTCCTTAGTTGGTTTGTGCATAGTTAACCATGCTGAGGAAACTATATAAAGTTTGGATGTCACAAAATGCCACCTTGAAAGTAGCTGTCAACCCACCACAGGTTGCAGTGTCTTGTGAACCAGCTTTCTGATAGCTTCTCACCATAGTTCCTGATAGACATTTTCCCCCATCACCTCCTACATTAATTTGTTCACTGGAGGTGCCAGTGGTTGAACGTGGGACTTCCTCATTCAGAAGATGTGCCCAATGCTTCCTGACATCTAATTTCCTGTTAGTGTGAGGGGGAAGTCTCTTTGTGTGAAGGGGAAAGCTAGTGTGGCTAGAGATTCAGACTAACACTGAGGAGAATTAGGTTTCAGTTGGCACTGAGTTACAAACCACAGGGTGTAATCTGAGGCCAGTCACTAGCTATGGGCCTAAGTGGCTTCCTGAGGTCTGTATGAAGTTCACATGGTGGAGAGAACTCTATGTGCTGGGTTAAATCTGCAAGAACAAATCAGAGGCAGTTTGAAATGGTTCTGTCCAATTGCTGGCTTATTGGTGGCCAATTATGAATTGCCAGAAAAAGGAAATCACTGAAGAAGGCAAAGAGGATACGCATTTCCATAAAACCACACATGCTGCTTTAGAAAGGAATGTTATCGTTTAAATGGAAATTCATTACAGCTCATTGTGGTGTGGAAAAATATGGCCAGGTGCTAACCGTAGATCAACAACAGTTCTTATGGTCCTTTATCTTGAAACCAGAATTAGACAGAATGGCCCTTCAAACAGAGGACACCTTGAAACAAAGGACAGTCTGCTGGAAAAGAGGACATATGGCCACCTTATGTGGTCTACCACTCCTTCTCCAATCTCATCCCAAAAGCACTTGGGCTAGTCTTTTGGAATGGGGGAATCTGAAATCCCCAAACCACCATTAAACATGCTTCTTGCTACCTAGGTAGGCCCGACAGCAGATGGGTTGCTTTAAAGCAGCTTAGACACAACAACCATGGCTCGAATCCCACCCTCACAGGGGGGCTGTCACAATATGCAGATGGACCCCTGTCACTGGGAGGCTGGACCAGTGGAAAGGCTTGAAGGCAGGCATAACCACTCTCCCTTTCTCTTCCTCTTTTTATGTTTTAAGAGCCTTGAGAAGTCAAAATGCAGCCTGTTTTAAAACCTCTGCTTTATGAGACTTACTACTTTATTACTTTTCTTCCCCACCCTTCCTTTAAATAAGGTGGAGCAGTGTATTGGATAGCCATAAATATGGTCTGATTGTCATAACAGCTCTAGCCAGACTTAGCTCTGTCTAGATTCAGGAGTAGAGCTGCACTGTATGATGAAAGATTGCCCTTCTTCCACCTGGTGCCTTCCAGATGTCTTAGACTACAACACCTATCATTCCCAGCCAGCCTGGTCATTGCTGTCCAAAACACCTGCAGGGCATCAGGTGGGGGAAGGCTATGCTACAGCAATTTCAGGGAATACAAGTAAATGCCCCCTTTTTTCCAACTACCTGTATGACACAACTGAGGTGCACAGGCTGAAACCTGCTGGGGGCTGACTAAACCTGTCGAGGACTGTAGCCTAAGTCAGAATAAAATAGATATACTTAATGTTCTCAGCACATACTCTTTATGAGAATATAATCCCTTTCTAATTCACACATTTGTTGTTCTGTTGGGGAAAGTATGTTGCTAGATACCAGTGTCTACTACGAGTCAATTCGACACTCAGAGATTACCTAGCATTTTGACAACATATATGCAGAGAGTTCACAGGCAGAAGACGGGGGTTGCTTGTTCCCTAAAGCAACAAATCTCATTATCAAAGGTTCTATTCATATCTGCACACTCTTGTTGCAAACAAAGTATTATATGCTAGACACAGGTGTATCTGTCCTCTTTGATTCAGTGCCCTTTCCCATTTTTAAATCTTATGTTTGTTTTGGCCTGGTTTTGTATCAGGATACAGTTGATTTATTTAATGGTAAAAAGGCAGCATGAAAAAATACATACACTTTGCTGTGCACTTCTAATAGCTGCATAATTACGTGCACATTTTTCTAATTGACACAATGTCACACACATTTTTTCTTAATGTGAGCAATTTGTTTGCAACTGTAGGGCATGTTTGTATGGCATTTCCACCAGTATACACATATACATAAATCCAGTGTGACATGATGGTTAGTTAGTTTATTTATTTATTTGGGATATTTCTAGCCTGTCCAATCACTCTATGTCTCTTGACGACTCACAACAGAACCAACCAGTTGGTTGGACTGGAATTCTGGAGAACCAGGTTCTAGTCTGCACTCAGTCATGAAGCTCACTGGGTGTTTTTGGCCCAATCACAGCATTGTGAGAATGGAATGCTGAAGAGGAGGAAGATTAAGTAAGCTGCTCTTAGTTTCTTGCAGGAAATCAGTGCTTATATAAAGTTTTGTTTACACATACAAAACAAACTGTTAGGTGCACACTTCCAGAATGCTCTTTCTCCTAACATACACATTCTTGTATGCCCTTTTCTGAGTGGAGAACCATATTACAACTTTCAGTAAATTGTAAATTTCCAAGCATAAGCTCTTTTTGCTTTTCTTCTTGGCTCAAGAGTTACATATTAGCCACAAAGTTTGCATAAGCCATGGAGATACAACAGAGGAATTCCTAACCTGCTGACTTTCTCCTCGCTAGGGAGCTAGGGGTGGAAGGGTATGTCGGTCCTGCGGTAAGCTTGTGCCTATGAACATGTGCGTATTTATGTCCTTAAGCACACGGGAGGGTGTTGGGCTATCCTATCAGCATCCTCAAATCCTGTTCTCGGTGCTTAATTGAGCTCTCCTTCTGCAGTTCAGTCACGGAGCCTCCTGTTCTATGATGAGCCCGGGGGCTCCTTAGAGGAGGGCTACAGCTCCTTCATCTCTGTGGAAGCTCCAGAGAAGTGGGAAGCTGAGAAGAGGCCAAGTGAAGAAGAGGAGCAGCCTCTGGAGCATGTGCGCAGTCCCTTGGCTGTAGCCCACGAAACAGAAAAATATCTCAATAAGCCCCGCCCGGAGGGGCCAAATCAGAACCAGACCAGCTCAGCTCTCAGCCACCCCAAGGAGCGGTTCCATGAGAGGTAAGCAGGCAAGAGACCTTCCACTTGTGCCAAGTTTTCTGCCACAACTTGGGATGCTAGAAAAATAGCTTTATTCTTAAGAAAGCCCAAGGCATTTCAGCCCAGTTTTCCTAGGGGCTATGAAACAGTTAATACAGATTTCTCACCTAAAGCAAATGTATGTGAGAGATTTGATTAAAATGTCTTCTGTTTTACAACTGCTGAAAAAGATCCTAAAGAAAATCTGGGCCAAAATCCACTGGGCTTTCGTGAGGATAAAGTTGTTTTTCTAGCATCCTAAGATATACTCTCCCTTTGTGGATTTCTAATGGACCCCTTCTCATTGTAAGGCAGCCTTCCCCAAACCACTGCCTTCCAGATATTTTGGATTACAACTCCCAGAATTCCTGAGCAGTGGTCATGCTAGCCGAGTCTGATGAGAGTTGAAGTTGAAAACATCTGGAGGGCACCAGGCTGTTGAAGACTGGTCCCCTTTTTTTAAACTGACCCCCATTTTTGTGTTTTTAACAGATCTGCAAGCATCAACAGCTGATCTCTGCCAATTAAGCCACTGTTAAAGGCACCAAAGCAAAGCAGAGCATTCCCCCCCCCCCCCCCCCGATCCTGCTTGCTGCCATATTAGTCTGTTACAGCAAAACAACAGAGAGTCCTGTGCTGCCCAAAAGTTCATTCCGTAATGCAAGTTGTACACCAAAATTCATGCCATAATAAGTGTTGGTGGTTAAGGTATTCGGCATCCTTTCAGATCACCAAATCCAAACTATCTGATTTACTCCCCAAAATATTTTTTATTATTATATTTCTAAGCTATCCAATAGCCAAGGCTCTCTGGGTGGTTTGCAAAAGTCTCCAGAAGGGTTGCTCTGTGAACCATGGGTACCTCCAATAGCAGAGACCAATCCTGCTTGCACTGTCAAGGTTGTGTTGAGCAACCAAATGCGTGCGGTGTGACTGAAATCTCTTCAGTGGGATTGATTGAGCTCTCCCACGAAACCCTAGCAACTAGTTTTGCAAGGATCATGTGTTTTCTCAGCTGGAGGCCACTAGGAAGCTGCCTTATGCCAGATCAGATTATTTATACCTGGCAGCAGCTCTACAGGGCTACTGGTGGAAGTGGTTCTCATCACCTTCTGCCTCTTCTGTTTCAAACTAGACACTCCAGGACTGACCCTGACTCCTGCTGCCTGCAAAACATGTGCTCTGCTGCCAAGCTGCAGGCTGAGGGTCTCCTACCTGCCCCCCTTTAACTGGTGACTGAGACTAAGATAGCTGAATTACCTTCCACAGGAAAATTGATGCGACCCCAGCACTGTGGGAAGCAGGGGAATAGGAAGGTCTTCAGAGGAACCTGATCAGCCACCTTGGAAAAGGAAAACCATGGCAGAGGCATCAGAGCAGTCATCATAGGTCTGAATCTGATAAGGGGTGAGGCATCTGGTGAAAAAAATGATTAACAGATTATTCTGCTTTCTTTTTTTTGTTTTGCAGGGACAGAACCTCCAGTGATACAGCTGAATATTTGTAGCAGCTGCCAGCCCTCAGGGCCTCTTCTGTCTGGATGAAGGATTCTTTTCTAGCTGCCTGATTTAAGGTGGGAAGCCTGTGCCCCATAGCAGGGAGTAAGTCCCATTGAACTCAGTGGGACTTATGTCTCAGTAAACATGCATAGGCTTGCACCATACCTGGGAGAGGATTCTCCATTTAGACATCCCCCAGTTGGCCTTGAGTTCAGTTTCTTGTCCACTTGTTCTTTGATCACCAATGTTAATATGGATCTTTCAGTCACTGATCACCATAATCAGGGATAGCACCTGGCAACATAGACAGAAGCCTCCACCTTCCGTTTATCCCCGCTTGGGATCCACATGGGCGCTGGAATAGTTGCATTCTTTCTTCTCTCTGCAAGCTGCCACAAAAAGTTACCAACTTCTCAGCATGCAGTTCCACCAGAAATTATCAACTTCTCAGTGTGCAGTATTATATAAAGCAGGAAAAACTCTCTCTGTCAGGAAAAACTTTATTTTTACCTTGTCAGCTACTGTTTTGTTTGAATTTTTGTAGTAGTTTCCCCATGCCCTCACACATACACAGCCACAAACAAAATGTAGAGAACACAAAAGCAGAGATGTAAGAACATATTACAGTTAAATGTCTGAAGAGAGGAAAAACAGTCTTCAAAGGAAGTATGTTTTTTCTAATTAAATAATAAGAATAAGCAAAGCTCTCAAATCATAATCCATGAAATTATCCTGTTTGTGAGTATTATGGCTCACAATACTCATGTACATTCCATACAAATGTACCTGGGAGTAAATCTCATTAAACTCAATGCGATTGACTTTTAATTAAAGTTTTAAATGCTATAAAACTGATCTATCCAGTCCTCTAGTCCAAAACATTTATTCTGTTTTGGCTGATAACTGCTTTTCTCTCTTTCCCCAGATCAGTGGGCGGGTGTTGGTGGGGAACATGTGCTTTCTCAGCTGAAGATACTAGTTACAATTGAACCCCAAAGCTGTTCCAGGAACAGCCCACAGAATCTTACATATGGAATTAGGAATCGGTGTACATCTGTTTTCAGGGTTGTTATTTTTCTTAATCTCCTTCCAGACATTTTTTTTCTCTAAATAAGCAGCCTTAATGAGGTCCTTCTTTTTTCTTATATTCCCCTATTAAACCATGATTGCAAGCTGGATGGGCTTCTATATCAACTGAAGTAAGATGTCTGTCAGGCCATGTCCACAAATATTCTTTATCAATATACAGAAGGAGATTAGGCAGAGATGGCCAGAGTGTACACACTTTCCCTGCCAACCATCTCGTTCTTTCCATGTTTCTTGGTGCTAAATGTGCAGGTCAGCAGGCTTCAGTTCTGGTTCCCAGTTCAAGAAATCTGTCAGTATGGTGAGATCTTCCAAACAATGTTTCTTTAATAAATTCCAGCAAGACCAAAATATACCACTGCAGCTCCCCAAACTCCAAAGACACCCTTTTCCCAACCAAAACCAGCATAAAGAACCACTGTTCAGTTAATGCACATCCTTTTCATGTTTCCATTAGCCAGAAATTCTACTGGGCATAATCCATGCGTGCCTCAAGTTCATACTGTTGTACAGAGACCAAAAGCAGAAATTGTTTGTACATAATGAACCTTATTTTGTATTATTGCCAGTCCCTTAAGATATTGTATTTTGGAGACTCTCAGATCCTATTTTCTGTATTGTATTTTATTAAGAGTTATTGCGAGCTTGGCCTCTATGAACTTCCTCTCTTTTCAAGCTGCTGTTTCCTTTTAGTCTAGCAGCTGATGGTTGCCTTGGTTGTTTTTTTTTTTTTTAGTGTTATTGTTTTGTTTTAATATAGCACTGTTTTCCTCCTGTTACTTGCTCCTGCAATTGCTTTCAAGCAGCAAAATTAAAAAAAAAGATGCAGCATCAGCCCTGTTGTTCAGATTGTTTGTTATTTGAGGGGTGATTAATTTAGTTCATCTTTGTTCCAGTTCAGCCCTGATCGGCCACTGAATACGAGCTAGGCTCTTGCAACACACAAAATAGTCTCCAAGCTGAGCTGCTAATGCTCCTCTAAATTCTCTAAATTTCTCTACAGAAATTTGATTAATGAAGAATGATGGTAGCAGCTTGCCTCTTAGATCTATTATTGCAATAGTCTAATCCTGCAGTAATTGCCTGAAAAGGAATATCATATAATTTAATATAATATACAGCGGATGTGGAAGAAGGCTTGTGGGGCTATTCTTGCTGGCAAAGGAAAGGCATATTTGCTTTTAAGAACAAGCAAAATATTCTGTCTCAAGTGCTAGAAGAAAGAAGTCCTTAAAACACACTCTAGAATAGCAATGAAAGAAGAGGAATGGTAGCTTGAATTCTTTGTTGGCTTCTCTGAATGCACATGATTTCAGCAATGCTTACATCATGGATTTTCAAATCATTTTAAAGAGAAAATTAACCTTTTGTATATAAAAAAAAGCCAAAACTTGGGCAGGCACAGGTGGCAGCGCAGTACCATGTTGCACACAACAGTGATAGTGTTGGGAAGGGCTGCTGATGAAAACTTCCATCCCATTACACCAGCAAAATCCACCTAGAGTTGAATTCCCATTAATGACAGCAGCATGACCAGGAGGCCAGAAGTGGGTATTTCTTACAACGAATTATAAATATGCTGCCATCTCTTAAAGAAATCAGATGTATGGATGAGTACTGAAGTCTCACCATTTAAGGTTCTAACAGCTGTGAGCTGTTAAAAGCCTTTCTCAGAAGATACAATTCCCAAGCAGGGCCTTGGGAATATTAAGGCAGAAAATCTACCTGCAAGTAAGGACCTGCAAATCTTGCTTCAGAATATTGAAACAGGCTTCCAGCACTACACCCACTCACTGATCTAAAAATATCAGCTTTGGGAAGATTGCCATAGCTTTTTCCACCATAAAATGTGAACAAAACCTTTACACTCTGAGTTAATATATGTAGACGGTTTTCACAAGTACCTTTATAACTGGGTTTTTTTTAAAAACTATCTCCTACATTTCTAGCTTGAATTTTTAAAAATCTGCAGTAGCTAGAATGAATGCTTACTTTTAATGCTTCCACTTTGTATCCTGCAGTTATGGTGTGCAGGGTGTCAAAGGGATTGTTTCAAATGACAGGGGAGCTCCATGTGCATGCTATGGCTCCTTCATCTGCAGAAAACTGGAATCAGAGAGGTGGTGGGGGGAGAGAGAATTTTATGTAGTCTGTGTGCATGCTGGCTAGAAGACTTTTAGGCTGCAAATTTCTAGGAATTCCAGGTTCTGCTTCCTGTTTGGCACAGTAGTGCACTACCAGGCATCCTGGGAATAGTGCACAGGTAGCTTTCAATCACCCCAATATAAGTTCATGTTGGTGACGCATCAGTCATTGGTATTGCAGTTGTTCCTTGTCAGGGCTGAGCGAGCTAGGATAGCACTGAATTGGGATCAAGCTGTAATAACAATCTAAAGGCAAAACCTGGAGCCAAGAGAACTGATGCTGACCAAACCAGGTCTTAACTGAAACTAGAAGCCTTCCATTGCTCATCTGGCTTAGTAGTGCCCAATGGCCAGACTGCTTGAGTAGGTTGGGTCTTGTCCAGAGTCTGCAAATGCTTCTGGACCTCCAAAACACAGTTCTGTCTAAGATGGTCACTTACACTTAGAAATCTCCCTCTCTCCCTCCCTCCCTCCCTCTCTCTCTCTCTTACACACACACACACACACAGAGTGTGCATGTGTCAATGAGTGTGCATAGATGTCAATTTAGAAAATTCAAAGAAATCAGCGTAGTGGGGAAGACTGACCTGGTGATTTATGTACCTGCTCAGTCTGTTGCCCAAGAGGTGGATAATGTTGATGGGCTCCTTCTCCTTATGGTCCTTTAAACGAGAGTGGAGAGCTCTTCAAACAGATTGCACTTCAAACAGAGGGTTCTGAAAAGTTGAACATATGGCCACCCTACCAGGAACATCAAACAAGGGTGTAGAAACTTTTAGGGTAAGTCTAACAAGTGTGTTTTAGCCAGGATGACCAAATGGAGCCTCCATTTTCAGAGGCAGTATATCTTCAAATAAGATGTGCTAGAGGTGCTCCACTGTCTTCCATTAGACATCTGGCTGGCCAACAGCATGCTGGCATGAAGGGCCCTTGGTCTGACCCTGTAGGCCTTTTTCCAGGTTTTGAAATGTGATAGGTTATTCTTCTATGGAGGGGTGTGTGTGTGTGTGTGTGAAGGAGCAAACTCAGCCCCATGATGCTATTTCAGTAGTGACCCCAGGGTTAGTTTCACATGCACTGCTTCATAGGAATGCTCTTTGAATAATCCTCTTAACTTATTCCAGGCAGAATTAGACATACTTTTCTTTTAAAGAGCAAACAACTCCCCAACCTGTTTTATAATATCACCTTTAGCTATCTGTACAATAGGTACAAATGAGCACTGCCCCATTCAAATACTTTTAAGCAAGTGGGGGTCTCTCTACTGCTGAAAGGTGAGCTCCATGCCATTTACGCCTCTGCTGAGACAGCTCCAAACGGGTGTATCAGTCCTCCCTCACATGCCTTGCTGGAAGTGGGTGGGCTGGCGATCTCTTCACTGAACCCTGTGCTTTTGTCAAAGGCAAAGGAGTTGGTGATTATTTCTGAGCAGCACAGTCATGATGTGAAAGACTACTTCTGTGTGAAAGTAATGGCTCCAGTTACTTGGAAACATTATTAGTCCAAGGAGAAGGGACCCCCTGAGGCTGGTTGCTGTAATGTGTGGCATCCTTAGTATTGTCAGAACTGAATGAGCGAAAGCCTGACAGTATAAGAACAGCTTTAGAATTGTTAAGGTGGGATCTGATCTGATCACAAAGACATGTTGCAAGTCTTCTTCCTCATGTACATCTCAGATATGCTAATATATGCCAGTCCTGAAAGCTTTTTTTTTTTTTTTTGGTCCCTTATAATGATCCATCCAATCCTTTTGTTCCAATCTCATGTGCCTTTAGCAAACTGCCTACCTGATCTGCCAGCCTCCTCCAAACTGTGGACGTGACTAATAGGCTATAAAAGCATCTTCTACAGAATCCATCTTTGTAGTCCCTTGGTGGCTACCCACATGCTGCATGTGTTTCCTGCATGCCTGAATAAATCGTTCTTTTGATTGTACACCTGCAGCATACTTGCCTTCTCTGTTTCCTGGCAGTTGCATCACAGCTAACTTTCTCACCCTCCTTCTTGGCTTGCTCCAACACAGATTCTCATAAATAACAAAGGGGATGTGGTGAGTCAACCTGTAGACTAGCGGAACAGCAGTGGCCACTAGTGGCTTTCCAGGGTTTCAAGCTGGATTCTTTCCTTGCCTTACCTGGAGATACCCAAGAGTACACTCTCAGACCAGCATGCAAAGCAAATGCTCTGCCACACAGCCATGGCTGCTAGAACCAAAAATGTAAACAGGTTCAGGAACAATTGTCACTCAAACAGGGCAGAAAAAATTTGCAGCAGTCGCAATATGATTTGTGTATTCATACAGTCTCTGAGCTGTTGTATCACTGATAGCAACACATAGCATCAGAACAAATAACAAAACACATAGCTCTTTCAGCAACACATAGCCTCAAAGTAAATAAATGCAAAACTCCAGTGACAGGGTGCAATTTGGGTGCAGTTTGATGATCTCCTGACATTGTCTGGGGAGGGGGTAGAATATGATTTCTTGAAATCTCAACTCTGAAGTCCTTCAACCTTGGTGTTGGGACTCTGTCAAGGTTGGGTTGTGTCTCTTTCTCAAGGTGGAGACCTTGCCCTGCCCTCCTTCCAGTTGGCACAGAAAGAACCGTAACAGGTGCCATTGCAAAGTTGTAAAATTGGCCTGAGAAAGAGTTCATGGAGTGTGCCAGGCATGGGGAGAACAGCTAACAGTTCACACCACACCCAGACTGTGTCCCTGCTTCCTTTCCTTCTGACTAGATGTCTGCAACAGTTGTCTGCAACATTTCATCTAGTCTGAAAAGGTGAAATGTATAAGTAAAATGCAGGGTGTGAGGTACAGGACCCATGGAGACTGCTGCAGCACCTTGCATTCTGGTTTGGATGCACATAGCGTATGTGCATTGAAGCAAAGGACATTAGGTTATGCCCAAAGGCTGCAATCTTATGTATACTTACTTGGGAGCAAATCCCATGAGACACAATGGGATTGGGGAATTTACCTCTGAATAGGCATGAATAAGATTGTGTTAAGTAAGAATAAGAAGCAAAAAAGCTGTAATTTCAAATTTAAAAAAACCAAAGCAGCCAAATATGGGGAAAGGATGATTTCAGAATGCAGCTTCAAACCCAGCATTGAAAATAAAACTAGCTTCAATTAATAAAAATGTTTTACAACCCCCACACACTCTTTTGGGGAATCCATGATAGTTAAGTGATGTAAAAGAGATATATGTTTGACCCTTTTGGTATGGTTTCCATTGCAAACCTTTCTCTCCACACAGTTCCTAAGTAACTCTTTCAGGCTTCCTCTGGTGTTAGCTACCAACCTGGAGCACCTTCAGCTCAGTACCTCTCTCTTAACAACCCAACTTCCTCACCTGTGCATGACTTAAATTCACATTGTATGGCTATGGCACACATTAGGATTAGAAATGTCACTAGAGCAAGAGCTGTCTTTTTGTTCTGTGCTGGCGCTACCAGTGGGAAGCTTTACACTCTTCAGAGGTTTTCTGCTAGTGCCAAAGATTTGTGCTAACATTGTGATGCTAATCTTGTGGAGCCAGATGGAGGGCTGCCTTCATCTGACTTCCCTCCAACACTTAAAATTGCATGCGAGCTGTGGGACCTGCTGACACTTCTTCCTCCCCGCTCCTCTTGGCAGACATGAAAGTTGCTCGGTGGACACACGATCAGACAC